AACCAGACCCCAAGGAAAGGGAATCGCTTCCGTGTGTCCTTTTTCACGGTCTTCATTTTCCCCAATTTGTTGATCTCCATCTTATTGATTTTCAAAAATATATTCTCACCAGACTTGTCAGTGTAGAGCAATGCGATGCCAGAGGGAGGCCGCGGGCTGAGCCAGAGCAGCGGAGCGACGGCGCCCTGCTGCTCCTTTGGGCTGTTTACAGGGTTTGGATCCACGCCAGTTCAACATTGATTTTTCCTTTTTCTTCTGACCTTTTGTTCCATCAGTCGACTCAGGTATTTTAAAATCAAATGAATGCAAATTTGCTTGAAGTACTTGTTGTTTTTGATATTCAAATTGGTTTAGTTGAATTTTTATATTTTATTTTCAAATTACAACTATAGGTTGAACTTGGTATTGATTTATTTTAAACAGTGTTGGGCAAGTTACTGAAAATGAGTATTTAGTTACAGTTACTAAAGGTAATTGAATTACTTACCAGTTACTGTGCATCAAAAGTAATTAGTTACTCTGGAAAGTAACTTAAGTTACTTTTATGTCTGCTTTTTAAATGTAATGAATATAAACAGTACTGAACAGTCAAACACAATAAACATATTTTTTAGACCTATTTATTGTAATCAACAGTGCAACAGGCCTTCAAATCAAGCAATAGTACAAAAGTCCTTTTTAATACTTAACTTAATACAAAATAACTGTTTCCGGCATTTGCCTGAAGGCAGCTGACTCGACAGTTGACAGGATGCATCATCTTCAACATAGCGAGCGATCAATCTATTCAGCTCTGCCCGGTTCATCGCTGCACTGCAGGCTGTGTAAAGTGGAGCCGTGGTTGTTTGCGTGGAGCGGCGCCTGCAGCATCCGCCGGCCTGCGGTCCTTCGTCATGACGTTTGGTGGCCACAACTATTTTGTGCTGACAGGCAGCTATTTACTTACTATTTGCCGGCCCTCCGCTTCGCGTCACAAAAGAGAGTAACGCGAGTAACAAACTGATTTCAGTAATTGTAACTGCGTTAATTTATTTAAGAAAATACTTCGTCACATGCTCGTTACCGCTAAAAGAAGTGGAATTACAGTAATTCGTTACTTTGTAACGCGTTACTCCCAACACTGATTTTAAACAAATCTCTTTTTAAATGTGTTTAATGGGTCGATCAAATTTGAAATGTCAGTCAAAAATTGTTTTGAATTAATTGCATTATAATATATACTCTAAAAAAGGTGGCACTTAAAAGTATTTTCCACTTAACAGTTTTAAGTTAGGGAACCACTGCGTAATGTTATCTTTAGTATTCTGATCCAGTGTCTAGTGCCCAATATAAAAACCGGGATCACTCTTCTGATATGAAATTGAACAAACTGACTCGGGTGAAAACAGGAAATAGTCTTTGGGAATCTACAGCAAGTCGCTGTAAGGAAAAAAAGAAAGCACTTTATCACCGATGGTTCTACTTTCTGACTCCCAGGATACGTGAAGCAGGTTTTCATTAGACCTGGCCCCGGAGTAAAATACAATAAAACCCTGCTTGTAGTTTGTGGGGATTGAATGAGACCTGGTCAGATTTTAATAAATATCTTTGTTCGGTTTCCCCCGTCCTCCCGACTCTAACCCTCTGTGGCTGTATTCCCACACACTGTCCTCTCTACCAAACATAGGACGTGGAAACCTTTCTTAAAGTCACATCTTGGTTGCTTGTGCATTTGGGTATCGACAGGCGGGCGACCCACTAAACAAGACCTGTTAAGACTGTTAGTGTGATTCAACAAACCGATCCGATCGGGCTCCACTTCCTGTGGCGCATGCAGGCTGATTCAGAATGACAGACTCGCGCTGCATCGAGTGAGGGCATCACGTGAAAATAAGATGAGCTCCTTCCTCAGCTGTTTTTCACCATCCAACTTTTCATGTGACTTTAAGAGCTTGCAGAACTGTGCTGTAAAGTTGCTTCTCCAACAATACACATCTGTGATTTTTTTTTTTTAATAAGCAACAAAGCCGGACTAAACTTTTATTGCATTCCCATCTATTTTCTGCAGGGTGTTGTGTGCCAGGCTTCCCCTTGTTTGCCCTGCACAGCTTTGGCTCACACATGCTCTTCTCCACTGGTTTCTAAGCCATGCTGATTAAAAAAAGGGATATCACAAAACCAACATTTAGTTCACGTTTATTGACTGATTTTTGCAGATACATTTGAACACATGATGATCTCATAAACAATCTTTAATAATCTTCCTGTAAATGCATCTGTCATCACATATGCAGATTTTTATTTCTTTGTAGTTTCTTGTGTTAAGCAATATGTAAAGCAATGTCAAACAGCTTGACCATTTTGCATCCGATTCACAGCTTCCACACTTTGCTGTTATTGAGCTGATCGATCCATTCTTCTTCAAAACAAAGAAGAAAACATTTAAACCTCGAGCCAACTGCAGTCTCAACTAATTGTATTTTACCCAAATAGAGGATTGTCTGTTAACCACAAGGCAGTAACTTCACTGTCTAACGTGAGCTAGCAAGCAAGCCCTTGTAACTAGTTAAATAAGAGTTATCTAACTAACTTAATCCTTACTAAATAATTAATACTTAGCTGAACACGTTTCAATCCAAGTCATGGCGATCTCCCCCCTGTATGTACCTGTATGTATGACTGAAAAAATAAAAGATTTCTAAAAGAAAAAAAAGGGCTGTATTTCAAAATAAAGACAATAAAAACAAAGTGCTTCAAATAAAAATAAAAAAATACAGGGAAAAGAAAAGCTTAAATTTTCCCTTTTTCTGTTTTACATTTGGACTCTAGTCTCAGCAAATTATAAATAATCCAAATTTTCATGGAATATTTATATATGCCACTCCCGCAGTCTTTGCTCAGTTGTAGAATTGAGCTCTATCATGTCCTGCCGGGATGCGTCGGGCCGTTCTGCTCCTCACATGGAGGAGTTCATTGTGCCTCATAATGGAGATTCACATCGGCACTTTTCTGGATTAAATGCTCTACTTTCACTGTCCACTTTTTGTTTTCCCACCTGTGTCTCACTCGTCTTTTTCCTAAAAATTTTATTTCGTCTTCTTTGGAATTAGCCGCTGTCTCTCTAATATGCCTTGATTGCTTAATCAATGGTGGCTTAACTCCAATGCTATTGGTCTGTGCTTTAAACCACTACCATAAAGACTACCAAAGCTGCGCGGGTCAAAAAGGGCCCGTCAGGTTTAAATCAGAACCGACTGTTCGGTTCCCCTCACGGATAATACAGACAATCTTGACTTTGACCAATGCATTGTCTCTCCCCCTGTCCAACCCCAATGCCTCTGCAGACTGGGCTTGCAGCTATACAGAGTATTTCACACACAGTAAAACCCACTGGTGAACATTCATGGTTCGTGCCTTAGTGTAGAAGCCATACAATGGCAGCCGGGTTCCAACACTTAAACCAGCTTAAACAACATGCAGACTTTTTTCTTTTTCACAGTGATACACACACACACACACACACCAGGGCGTGTGCGTGCGGCTGAGGCCACCTCCCGTCTCCTCAGAGCTGAATGGCTCATCGGTCCTGCCAGGCCCCAGTTCTCACACACTCATCTGGCTGCTGCAGGTCATCGACGGGTGACTCGGCTCTTCTGTTTGCCTCGGATTTGTTGGCCACCTGGGAGACACGCAGCGGCTTGTTGTTATCAGAAATAATAAAGCAGGGTGGTGACTCCAGTACCTGACATCATCGTGCCCTAGAAAGACGAACAGACTCTTCTAAGATTCTATTGCGTGCTGGACAGACTTTTATTCCTTACAGAGATGCGTAAACAAATGTATTCCAGCTCAGATGTGCAGCGAGCCCTGAGTGATTTCCCTCATGCAGTGGCAACAAGTGTTTCCATCCAGCTGCAGCTAAATTTGTTACACACTTGTTTAACAGCCCAACAAGATTCTTTTTTTGGTGTCCATGTGTCACTGAAGGAAGCCCAGCTCTGGATTTTGAGCAGAGCTTTGTCTCCCGTAGTTGCTGTGTCAACCACCTGAATATGTTCTACGTGGTGCAAATCATTTGTGTTAGTTTGAGCCCAACATAAATAGGCCACTACTTAGTCTTCCATGTCTGACCTTGTCTCTTTGTTTGCGAGAGACACTTTACTCCGTAAACGTGTGTTCTAGCACTCTCTAAAAACTCCAATGAAACAGTAGAGTTATTAAATAGAAACCATTTAGTCAGAGCTTTTTTTTTAAAACAAATCGACTTGGCCGCTTCCCCTCTCAAGCCCCTGAAGTCTTTTGGTTTTGAATATGTGAACCTTGACCAGCGGTCAATCCTGAGCCGCCTGCTGCGCTCCTTCTGCTGTTCATCAGGGACCGTTTCAGTTTGTTCAAAGGTCAAACTGTAGATGCCTTGAATGCTGAGCAGCTCACATCTCAGTGCGATACTCCAAAGTACACAGCTTGGTTAGAGGAAGTTCTCACCTGCAGATCCAAACACTACATGTCTGTTGTGCTGTCACATCCACAGCGCTTCTGATGTCTGCTTTCTTTTTCTTCGCTCTGCTCTGAGAGTAGCTGGTCTCTTGTCCGTCTCGTCTTCTACAGTTCTCGGTGTTGACACCATTTCATCAGTTTTCCTCGGCGGTGTTGAGTCTTGCTACTTTGTGGCGTCAGTCTTCACTTCCAACGTTACTCACAGCGGGGACGTCCTCCGCTCTGCAACTGTCAAACTGATAAATGCTCAAAGGGGGTGTTTGTTTGATGTTGAAGTCTTCCTCAGTGTCCTTCTCACACAGCCTGCTCGGAGTCACTCGGCCCGCCGCACAACGGGTCAGCAGAGCGGCTTTGTTAGCTGTTTTACCAGACGTTAAGTCTGACCTCGGCATATAAAATCCCGTTTCATTTGACTGTATAGATCTGACCTGCACATGAATGAGACACTGATGTCCTCTTTAGCCTCTTGGTTTGGTTTTGGTGGCATTCTCTGTCTGACCTCTGCCTCTCTTCCCCTGTTGCAGGTTCAACTACAGGGCGACTCACCACCTCACCACCAATGGCTTCTACGAGTTCCTCAACTGGTTTGACGAAAGAGCCTGGTACCCCCTGGGGAGGATAGTAGGGGGCACGGTGAGTGTTTCTGTGTCTCTGTCTGTGTGTTTGTGCCATGAAGCAGGTTTGTCACCGTAACAGGCAGAGAACGGACAGACCGGGTCACCTTTGCACCGTGTTCAAACCCCACAACATGTCGGAGCGCTTATCTCCTGCTTCTCCACTTACGTTACAGTCCTCCGTGTGAGCTCCTCGTTTGGGGTTGATGAAGGAAGAGCCACCGCGGGCTGATCGCTTCACCAGAGTGCACTCAGCGTGCAGGCGTTTCACATTAGCTGACAAATCGGCCGCTTTTAGTACCTTGTTTTCACTGAGACATCAGCACAATAACGTATTTTGTGCCGTACGACCGTTATAGTTACAAATCATGACTGAGAATAAAAGTTCAAATTCTTTTGATTTATTTATTTTACTTTACGTTTTTTAATAATGACATTCTTACTGTCAGCTGAACTGCCCGTTTGCTCTGGTGCTGTTTACAGAATGGTGTCAAAACAAACGGTTTCATTGAGGTAAACTCAATGTTGGGCTTTTGTTTTTGGCTACTTTTTCTGACTCGGCATTACTCACAAATGATGTGTTCAAGGACCATCGTAAAGCTGAAAATCTGATATTTCACAGCTTCTGTCGAGGGTACATTTCGTTGTCTTGGCAAAACGTGTTTTCAACTCCGATTTGCTTTATTCTTCAAAGATTGTTTTGTGTGCTGGGAATTCAGTAAGATCTGCTGTCATCGGCCGTGGTTGTGTAGGTGACAATGTGCTAATCTTCTGTCCAGTACCTGTGAAGCTCGTTGCGCGTCTGTTCTTTTACTGCTGAATCGCTCATTCAGACTGTAAATGATGGTTTCCAGAATCAGCCCCAACTCCACAACTCAACAAATGTTTTTCAAGGTCGCTCAACACTGCAGACTTCCTGCACTTACCCCCCTCCTCGCCCCCTCAGGTGTACCCGGGCCTGATGGTCACGGCGGGCCTCATCCACTACGTTCTCAACCTGCTGCACGTCACTGTGCACATCCGCGACGTGTGCGTGTTCCTGGCGCCGGTGTTTAGCGGCCTGACCTCCATCTCCACCTTCCTGCTCACCAAGGAGCTGTGGAACCAGGGGGCGGGGCTAATGGCCGCTTGCTTCATCGCCATCGTCCCCGGCTACATCTCCCGCTCCGTGGCCGGCTCCTTCGACAACGAGGGCATCGCCATCTTCGCCCTGCAGTTCACCTACTACCTCTGGGTAAGTCCTCCACATGCAAATCCTAAACTTGTGTCTTTTTTTTCTGCATGACGCTGAAAAACTACTAATCAATATTTTTATAGAGTGAAAAGAAGACTAATCTAAATAGAGGGACAACCCCCCACTTGTTTCAGAGGAGAAGGACATTATATAAACGAAACTCGCCATCGGCAATTGAATTCTTTTTCATGTTCAGACTCGGACAGTGCTCTTTAAGAGAAAACGTGACTCTAATTCTTCAGCTGGTTCGTTTGTCTGCAAGCTTTTTTTCATGTTTATAATTGTCCGCTGCGCTCAGCAGTTCCATCCACTCCCTCCCTAGAATGTCCACAAGATCTGTTTGTAAAGGCAGATTGTTTGAACAACAAACCTTCTGTTTTGTTTTCAGCTTGTTTGGCTGAAGTAAAACCGTCATCATGGCTAATGTTATTAATGGACAGTAATAGCATAGCATAAGCTGATTAAATTAGCATTAAGCCTCATTCCTACAGAGTAATAAATCACACAGGACAGAATGATTTTAATAATCTCATGTGATTGCATCCAATAGTTTTCTCTTTTCCTGCCTATAACTCTCCTCTCTACTCGTTATTTCCTTAGAATCACACCAGCATGGCCGCACCACGCCCGGACGCTAACCCGCCCCCCTAGTCCTAGTTATCCTTCCATTCTCCTCCAAGCCAGTAACTGCAGCCTTTAACTTAAGCTGCGCTTTGTGCGAGTCATTAATGAGGGAAACACGGCGAATAATTTGTGTGTGTGTGTGTGTGTGTGTGTGTGTGTGTGTGAGTGTGTGTGCGTGTGTGTGTGAGTGTGTGTGCGTGTGCGCGCGCGCAAACGCCAGAAAGGTGCAACTCATAATAAAGGAAATCAAAGCGAGCAGGTCCGCTTCGTTTGAGCATATGATGTAAATGAGACGCTGAGTGTGTGTAACTTAATGCTGTCCTGTGTGACCTGCAGGTGAAGTCTGTGAAGACGGGATCTGTGTTCTGGTCCATCGGATGCTGCCTCTCCTATTTCTACATGGTGAGGACACACACACACAGCCCTTTATCTTAAAATGATTGTGACCATGTAGAATTGATCAACTAATCATACCATATATAGACATGACCATTTTTACATGATCTACTTATTGTTTAGGTGCTTGACGTCATCATTCTGACGTTTGTATTACACGTTAAATGGAATTTGATGTTAACGTCTGTGTTTGCACATAAAGTTCATTGCTTGTTCAAAAGACGGGCTTTCATTAATAATCAATCAATCCCTTGAATAAAATGGTCTCAACATGACAATATCAATTATTGTAATAATTTCTGTGTGTCTCAATAAAGTCGTTCTTCTGACCGTCCTACCAGGTTTATGTCCTGATCTGAAACTTTAACCCAAATGGGAATCTGAGTCATAAACTCCATGGAGGGCAGTGAGAACACTACGCACGGACTGAAACACACAAGCACCCGATAAAGGATTATTGTGCCCCTGACAGATGGTTAAATCCGAGCATCACGTGGAAGCCCATCAACTGGTGTTTGCCTCACATCACCGAGGGGAAATTTACTCTGACAAAAACGGTCATCTGGGGAACTCTGTTCTTTACTCGCCTATAATTCAGCCAGACGCTGATGGGTCCTTTGGACGCCTCGCGCTGTAAACTTTGACGCCTTTTGTCTGGCAGTTGCTCACCGACTGGGAGTTACACCACTTATTGGAAAAACAATTAAAAAAGTATGCTTGCTATGAACGTGTGCTTGCGTGCACATTTGAGGGACTGGCCACTGACAACATAATCTGAAGAGGAGTCTTAATGCTGCAGCTCATAATGCTTCCACAGCTCCCCAGTGGGCTGTGCGACTTCGCCCCCCTCCCTCTCGCTGCAACCCGCCTCATTATAGAAGTGTGTGCGTGTGTCGTCACTAAGAGCAGGAACACGCACCCTCCGCTTCCCCGGCCTACAGGGACTCGTGGGCCGATCACAATACTGATTATCTACTGCGGCTGAGAGCTCTGCACGGATTCAGCAGAGACAATAATCCCGTTATGACAAGAAGCACTAAACTGTGCGTGCGTGCGCGCGTGCGTCATAGACGGTTCACGTCTAGTCAGACGTGAACTTTTCGAATCACCCATTGGTTTGTGGATTGACGTTTTGGCACTTTAGGGTCTCTTCCAGTGGTCCATAAACCACCGGGCCGCAGACTGGTACCGGTCAGTGGGACATTTGGTGCCGGGCCGCCCAGAAGGATTAAGCCTATAAAAATGCTTGTCTCGGTCATGTGACAACTGCAGCAGAACTTAAGCCCACAAGCGAGCAGAAATGAGCAAAAAACACAAAGCTCTTTGCAAATGAGAAAAGGCCCTTTGAGGAGACCGAAGAAAAGCCTCCAACCTAAAAAAAAGAATGCCTCATTTAACAGGCAGCATCAGGAGACTGAGGGAATCAAGAGGGAAGTGTAGTCATTTTCTCATAAACCTTTTATAAAACCTATTAGAGAGATTCCAAGTTTTACCACATGTCCACTCTTCAGCACTGGCGCCTGGCGCACGAATATGTTACAAACTGTTTAAGGACATCTGGAGCCAGCTGACTGTTCTTATTTTGTTTGTCCCACAGGTGTCAGCTTGGGGCGGTTACGTGTTCATCATCAACCTTATTCCCCTTCATGTATTTGTCCTACTCCTCATGCAGCGCTTTAGTAAAAGGGTCTACATAGGTGAGATGCAGCACGCACACACACACACACACACACACACACACACACAGCTTTTATGTGGACATGAATTCAATGGCGTAAGGATTTGATGGGGAGGGGGGGGCAACGATTCTCATTATTTGACAGTTTAGGACATCCAGGCTAAACCGTGAAGATGAAGGACAGCAGCTACACAAGCATGCGCACACACACACACACACACACACACACACACACACATATATATGCACACACTGAGTTTGTATCCAGTCACACGGTACTGACACAGAGTACCTAGTAATTCTTTGTCACATCTGCACTGTATAAACCCATTGAACTGATCATGAAGAACAATCTACTTCTGCCTTTAATTATTTAGAAACCCACGTTCACACAAACAAAAGAGGCAATGGGATAAGAGTGAAATACAGGAAGCAAAAAAAAAAAAATCTGTGCTTCCTTTGAAGAGCTCACCTCGTTGCACATTCACTGATCATGCATAAGTCCCAGGCCTCACTGCTCCCCCCTCATTCTTGGACTGTTCTTCCTGAAACGGGATCCAGTGAGCTCTGAACCTACAGCGTTAGTTCAGCGGTATGACTGACCTGTGATCCAGAGTCTCCTTCTCTCGCTCCATCGCCCCCCGTCTGAGGGAGCACAAATACCCTAACGTCATTATCTCACCAGCAGAGTAGAAAACGCAGATAGATGCTTCTACTCTGCTGGTCATCAGCTCTGCTGCCGTTACCTGCTCGGGTCGTCGCAATGCTCAGCGGCGACTCGGGCTGCTGATTACATTACACATAAATAATATTTTTTGTGAGAACGCTACATATTTTCCATCTTTCAAGCTTCGACGCAGCTCCAACCGAACGTGCAGACGGCCTCAGAGCCACTAAGGGGAATCTTTTAAGGCATCTTTAGCTTTTTACCAACAAATGGAAGTCAAGTGAGCAGAAGATGAATGACGAGTGGCTGCTTTGGGTAACTTAAGTTAACTTTTAGTAGAAAAGTGCTTTGATTTTAAGGACCTAATGTGTATTTCTTTGTGGCTGAGTAAGGTAAGGTGCTATAACCTGCAGGTAGACATATGTAAAACATTTAAATACAGTTTTTGGGGAGATATTTGGTGACAATTACAAAATATTAAGTGTTCCCATCGCTCTTTAAAAGAGATTTCAGCAAAAAGTAAAGAGTTTACTCTGTTGGCATGGAGATGGATACTGAGTCCGTATTACTTTGTAAAAGACAACTGCAGAGTAACAACTCTAACAAAGACGCTTCTACTCTGTACTGTGAAAAAGCAGAGAATTAATGTACAATTGACTTTGTTTTACACATACAAGCATATTATTGGTACTAAAACAGCAAAATACTGATTCAGCTCAATAGATGAGAGCAGAAGAAATGTATTGTTGAAATGTAACCAAGTACATCTACTCATGAACTGTGCCTACTTACAAATGTGTGATGTTTAATTATGTACAATGAGAGGGACACCATTTGACAACAAGCTCATTCTGCAGATAAAGATTTACTCAGATACTCTAAATGCAAATCTACAATAGTGTTTTGTTACGATAACAAAGGCACAAATTGAAATGAAAGCCCATGTCGTTCCAACAGAAGAACGGAGACGACACCTGTTGATGTGATACCAATAATAATCTCCTTGTGAAGAGTTGAGGTTTGGATCGATGCCCAGACACAAATTGGGGTGGAATTGTTTTTTCATCCACACACGATTCCCTTCAGTGTGATTTAAGGAAGGCTTCAAGTTTATTTTAAGCCCAGTTGCAGATGAACAAGAGCAAAGACCTCATTAGCCATCTCTTGGCTCACTGAGGATTGATAATTGCGTAATAATACAGGAGTTATTTAGAGGTGAGATCGTCCAGAACTTCACTGTAACATATGAGGAAGATTTCAGCTTGAGGCCCAAACGCACTGAAAGTGTCTTCTGGCAGATTTGAAGTGGACAGATTGTTATGAAGGGATGAGTATTCGCTCTGTGTAGAACCGCTTCACTCTCCTCCGACCTTGACTTGATTTTTGAGCCCCAATAAGCCTCCAGCCAGAAGTCTATTTCTTTATTACAGTCCTAGTTCAGAGACGGGTAAGGATTAATCCCCCGAGGGCAACACTCCTCTTAAAGAAGCCTTTTATTTTGTCCCGACAACTACGGAGGATTGATGCTTCTTCCATTTACAGGAGAGGTTGACGCTTGACTAACTATCAAATAGTGAGAATTGTGATATAAAATCCATAATGTGACACAAAGGTGTTGATGGGTTCCTGTGAAACACTGCCGGCTCAGCGGCGTTGGCATTTTAAATCTGGTGCCTGCTGTGTGCGATAGGAGCATTGATTTAACACGCGTCAAGCGACGCGCATCCTCCACTGCCACAGTGCCTTTGGGCTTCAGAAGTAAAAAGAGCCATGATGCCCTCGATCACCTTTGGTGTATAAAGGGAACACATCATGAAAGCATTCACTGTTTTAGTGCATCCACTTGGGTATCCCCCTCTTCTTGTAAGCCAATCCGATTTGGCCCAAACTCCAACTCCTGCTGGTAGAAACCAAAAGTTCATCATCTGACTGGTTTAATGAAGCTCCACAGACCCACTCACTGCTGCCGCAAACATCTCTCTGATGGACTTTCTCGGGTGGTGTGAATATCCTAGAAACACTAATGAGCTCTTGATTCATATTTTGTAGAATTATCATGTTGCTAACATGTTATTAACCATACGTGTTCATGCGTGGTTCTATGAAGGAGAGTACAGGGCCTTTTGGGAGTATTGGAAGATATTTCCCACAGAAAATTCTAAAAAGCAACTTTTGCCGCGGCGTTGGCGCCGGCTGCACTCTTTGTTGTTCTGCACAAAAGCTTCACGAGAAAAACAATCTGACTTTAACTGCTTCTTTCCTTTCAGCCTACAGCACCTTCTACATCATCGGCCTCGTCTTGTCCATGCAGATCCCCTTTGTGGGCTTCCAGCCAATCAGGACCAGCGAGCACATGGCTGCTGCAGGTCAGTACCCAGGAACCTCTGGTCTCAGTGGAAAGTGCCAATGATTTGTTTTTAATGCAGGCTTATGGACTAAATCAGAATACTTGGAACTGAGTGCAAAAAGTATTGTTGCACAGCAAGTATACTTATAAGTATAAGTATTTAAGTGAGTATGTGTCTCTTCTAGTAGCAATGCTACTCAAATGTAAAGCCGGCTGAAAAGTGCTCACTCTATTTACTGATCGTCCTCTCGGTGTCGTTTCTCTGCAGGCGTGTTTGTGCTGCTTCAGGTCTACGCCTTCCTGCAGTACCTGAAGGACAGACTGACCAAGCAGGAGTTCCAGACTCTGTTCTTCCTGGGAGTCTCCCTGGCTGCCGGAGCGGTGTTCCTCTCCGTCATCTACCTGACGTACACCGGTCGGTCCTCGCAGTCCACCTGAAGCTCGCTTGTTTCAACAGCTCTTGCATACATTTGAACTAGTTTAGGCCTTTTTTCCTTCTCATTTAAGAAGTGGATATGCACACTGATACTGTGCTTACAGAAAAGCTGACTGATGCAAACATAATGACTAATATTGCAATGGGAGAAAAGAAACCATGTTGTGTACACGAGAGCGTCACACAGGAAGCCTTTCATAGCGTGTTTTGATATTGTTTGATTGTTCAAACATGGACTGGCTGTTTCTACTAAAAACAACTGCCTGGGTCGTTCATTTACATAGCGTTTTACATAAAAGCGCAGGATGCCTGGCGCTTCCTTGGTTCCTGAGCAGCACACCCGCCGTGACGCGATTATGTCACAAACCCAAGTCGCTGCTGCTCAGAACCACTGGTGAAATAGACCCGGAGAACCGCGGCGTGAAACGAGCGGGACACTGCGCACTAACTCTCCAGACAGGCGTATTTGTCGCTTACTTAAGTTATTAAATGGCGCCCCTGTAGCCCCGCCCCTGCTGGCCAGGATTGGGCAGCGCACATCGGCGTCTGACGACAGGCTCTGGAGATGAGGGAAGTACACAAGGACAGAGTGACGGCCTCAGATGACGGTGGGTCAGACTGAGTGCGTATTGATGAGTCCTGATCGGTTAGAAGGTGTGTAGTAGTCCTGCGGTTGGTTGTAAACATTGGACCCTTAACAAGGAGTCGGTACTCCATCAGAGGTAGTAGGCCTAAAACATCTGGTCACTGAAGTTATCCTAGGTTGCCCTGAGGTAATTGAATAAGTGTATTTGTTGGACTGTTTTCTGTGGTGGGTTAATAAACATGAGCAGGATGATGTAAGAGTGAGTCGATGAACGCAACAGTGCGTGTTCATGGTAATGAGGGAACTTCAGTGTGGCTCACTGATGGTTTTTTAATAGTTAGCGGACCACAAAGGCGCTCCGTCACGCAGGAAGAACAACTATGAAACACAAACACACACACGGCCTGTTTGCAGACAGTAAGGCGGCTTATCGTTGCGATGTACTGGATTAGAATCAGCCGACATCCCGCTGTGTTGTTGGTGTGTGTGTGGGCCGCCGCTACAACGCATGTTTGTTTTAGATGGAGAATTAACAGTGTGTGTGTGTGTGTGTGTGTTTTTCCCCCTCAGGCTACATCGCTCCGTGGAGTGGGCGCTTCTACTCCCTCTGGGATACTGGGTAAGTCCTCCCAGCTCATCTCTTGTATTTGTATTTGTGCACTGGAGAGAGTACCTGAGAGCAGAAGTGATAATATTTAGAATTGAATCGAATCTGTAGCACATTTCCTCTAAAATATGTTTGTGTACAGACACAAGCACAACGAGCCGGGGATGAGAAGCGAGTTTTATGCAAAATATATTCCAGGCTCGTCTACTGGTCCACCCGTTTGATGCTGAAGATAATGATTTAGAAAGTTGTGACCTATTTCTACCTTTTAATAATGTCAAAGACATTCAAATGCATAGCAAGTACACAAAGAGGACTGCACCAGATATTGTCATGGTCAGTCAGTCGGCCCATCGAATGAAACCCATTAAACGGTTTCTCCCATCAGCTAAACCCTAAAGAAAACCTAGACCTCACTGAGCGTGAGCGGGCAAATGTTTGTGTGCACGCCTGAGCATTTGTCTAAAGGGATCAGAGTGCTGTTTTGTTGCTGAGCAGTAGAAGCATTGAGGTCGTATCGACCTAAGTTAACAGACATTGGCCAAAGTTATGTTTCTCCCATTATTGAGGGTTTCATTTCTCCGAGAAGAATACCATGAACATTATATTTTTCATAACTGCTTCATACTAACCTTCTCTTCACATGTCGATGGTGACTGTTATCCACAGCTATGCAAAGATCCACATACCCATCATAGCGTCGGTCTCTGAGCACCAGCCCACCACCTGGGTGTCCTTCTTCTTCGACCTGCACATCCTCGTCTGCACCTTCCCAGCGGGCCTCTGGTTCTGCATTAAGAACATCAACGATGAACGCGTCTTTGGTGAGAGCCGCCATCCCGGAATGACCTGCAACATCGTTATTGATCACGATTAAACAAGAGCAGACTGAACCAGCTTGGGAGGATTGGATTTATGAGGAGATATTTGTTGAATTATGGTGGAGACTATAGACTTTAGAGTACCATCGCCATCAACAAAAGTGACATTTTCACATAGACATCCTACTTTAATAACATCACTGTACATTATATATTTGGTAAACCTGTAAAACCTGCTGACTTCACAATGTCTGTGTGCACTTCTTATAGTCTGTGGCTTTAAATGCCAGGCTCTCATTTTAATGACAACAAAAAACTGCTAAAAAGGCTTCGATGAAGAGCCAATATAGAGGAAGGCGTAGTGGACAACCTCTGCTTCAATAACCTCCAAAAAACACAACTTCACAACATAATTACACATCTGAAAATACATTTTTATTGCAAATTGTGTGTCAACAGTCTGAAAATGTTAGGTTGAGGGACCATGAAAGAGTTTTATCCCTAAAACTGTGCAAAGTAGTTTTCCCTCTACTTTACTTGGATTAGTTTTCCCTGGAATATCAGCAACACTTTGGACATTTGTTATCACTTCATTTTTAAGGAATCCCCGACAGCAGAGAGCGGCCAGTTGTTTGTCCCGTTGGTCGTCTCCTTTAGGCCGTTATTGCACCTGATAAACGGGATATGTGGTGCAGCATTTATTTCAACACGTTTATAAAAAAAAAAAGAGTAAACGGCTCATTTGCATATATTATGCTGATGCGTCTTATCAACATTTATTTTAAGACTAAAATGTCCAGCTTCTAACATCTATACTGCCCTCAAAGACCTTGTGTGGCCGTGACAAATAGTACAAGCTGAGCGGCCTGGTCAGGTTTTCCACTGTGTTCTGCCGAGATCAAACTCCAACTGGGTTTGTAACATCACGGTCTCTCTCTCCCCCTCTCTCTCTCTCTCCCCCTTCTCCTTAGTGGCCCTGTACGCCATCAGCGCGGTTTACTTTGCGGGTGTGATGGTGCGCCTCATGCTGACTCTGACTCCGGTGGTGTGCATGCTGTCGGCGGTGGCCTTCTCCAGCGTCTTTGAGCACTACCTCGGGGACGACATGAAGAGGCAGAGCCCGCCCCTCGAGGACAGCAGCGACGAGGACGACAGGAAGAACGCCGGCAACCTTTACGATAAGGTGGGCCTCGTCACCGGTGGCTCTGATGTCTTATCGTTGACACACTTCTTCTGTGCCATAAATTGAGCCTTCATTTGCCCTGTAGATAGTAGCCGGTAGTCAAAGTGGAGCTTGGGAACCAGTCAGGTGCAAGTTGCGGTTCTTGAGACGCGATGCTGGAATGTTTCAGTAGAGTTTACGCGTCGTGCTCTCCTCTGCAGGCCGGTAAGGTGCGCAAGCACGTGTCTGAGCAGGAGAAGGCCGAGGAGGGCTTGGGCCCAAACATCAAGTCCATAGTCACCATGCTGATGCTGATGCTGCTCATGATGTTTGCCGTCCACTGCACCTGGGTCACCAGCAACGCCTACTCCAGCCCCAGCGTGGTGCTGGCCTCATACAACAACGACGGGTGAGGATAATACATGCGTATAGCATCATTCACCTGTGAGGGGTGGAGCCATGTAGAAGCAGGCTTCGACATGCTAAATGCAGCTCCGACCTTTCTGCTTTCTCTTCATTACTGTGTTGTTTTGTTTACTCGCACAGCAATGAGAGAAAGAAATGACACCGTGGAGTGGTGTGTAACTGCAGAGTCCCTTGTTTTTCAGACCCATTCAGACCTGCATGTTTCTCCGTTGGTCAAGTCATATAACCCATGTGCAAATACACATGTCTACCTACCCCTCCATTACTTTCTCCACCAGCTCCCGTAACATCCTGGATGACTTCAGGGAGGCGTACTACTGGCTGAGGCAGAACACGGACGAGCATGCCCGAGTGATGTCCTGGTGGGACTACGGCTACCAGATAGCGGGAATGGCAAACAGAACCACGCTGGTGGACAATAACACGTGGAACAACAGTCACATAGCGCTGGTGAAACTGCCTTCTAATGCTATTCCATTTATCGCATGAAAATCAGTTCTGATGAAGGCCACTGATTTGATGATCATTTTAAATGGGGAGTAAAACAACCTGTGAGAAAATGTTTTATTATAATGCTGGAACGACACAAGTGGAGCGGGCAGCAGAACGATGAGCTCTGTGAAGCCTCGTCACCACAACCGGGCTCTGAATCCCCCCGGTGACGTCATTGTTTGCTGCCTGCTGCTTCTGGCTTGTGCGGAAACGTTTCCTGCAGTCAGACCAATTCGCTACAGAAGCAAAGACACAATTTAGACCATTCAAGAGAAGTGGTTTAATGAATAGGAAACACGGCAGACGTGTTTGATGAAGCCGGCGTCCCTGTTTCCAACCATGTGCTTGTGCCCGGTACAAACTTGGTAATACATCGACAAACCGTTTGTCTAAACATCCTCAAACTTGCTCGATGTTAAAACTCAGTTGTGTCCTATCAGCTGTAACTTGGTAAAGATTCCCGTGCAGATCAATGGCCATTGTTTGTTTGTTCCTATTTTTAATGATGACAGTTTGTTTACCACAAAGTGGACGGGAAGCTCCATCACCACAGTGACCGGTGGGATCTCAAAACAGTTTTGTTGATACTATAAATGAGTACTACATTTTGTGTAGTACTATTATGTCGGGGAACCTGAACGCAGCATACCGATGGTTCTCCCAGACCAATGTGAGCCGATATTCTAACTTCAGCAACCAAGAGAAAATAGAGGCAGCTTTCCTGCCTCCCTGACTGAAAACAAGTTGAACAAACCGGGGCTTCCCACCCCCACACCACCTGGACACTTTGCACAGGGGCCGTTCAGGGTAAAACCAGAACAAGTTAGTGCAGCAAAACCTTTTGGAAGATGATGAGAAATAAGGGGAAATGAAGAAGATAGTCAGGGTAACGGCCTGTTAGTCGGCGGCTGACCACCACTGCACTCTTGTTGTTGTGATGTGATTCTCCGTGTCCCTTTCAGGTGGGGAAAGCCATGTCCTCCAACGAGACCGCAGCCTATGACATCATGAGGTCGCTGGACGTCGACTACGTCCTGATCATCTTCGGCGGGGTGATCGGCTACTCGGGCGATGACATCAACAAGTTCCTCTGGATGGTGCGCATTGCAGAGGGGGAGCATCCCAGGGACATCAGGGTGAGATGAGACACACACACACAGTGTTGCTCTGTGTGTTTAGTGGGTAACGTGAGCGGAGCAGCGCTCTGCAGCAGTAAACATCTCAGACGGTGGTCTCAATGCCTGCTGAGTGGAATGCACATGTTTGATGCTCTCTGGAAGGATCTTCTGAGGGATGTTGAGGATCTGTGGCCTCAGTTGTCTGGGTGCGAATTCAGATAAAATCCGAAATCAAAGTGTGTGTGTGTGTGAGTTCTCTTATTTCATCAGTCTCCCTCTGTTGCCTCTCAACCACAGGAGAGTGACTACTTCACACCACAGGGAGAGTTCAGAGTGGACAAAGCTGGTTCCCCGACTCTACTCAACTGCCTCATGTACAAAATGTCCTACTACCGCTTTGGAGAAATGCAGGTACGTCACCATCCCTAGCTTCCTGTACGTGCTGCCTTTGTACGCTGAGACCTGTAACTGCAATGAAGCTAAACACCCAGAACGCAATAATTATAAATAACTGTTTACAAAATACCACTAACAAATAAGGACAAATATGATTCGGACACAAAAACCTTCATCTGGTCTTCGTCTGCGTTCAGCTGGACTTCCGGACTCCGCCGGGCTTCGACCGGACGCGCAACGCCGAGATCGGCAACAAGGACATCAAGCTGAAGCACCTGGAGGAAGCCTTCACTTCGGAGCACTGGCTGGTCAGGATCTACAAGGTGAAGAAGCCGGAGAACCGAGACCGCGTGGAGCACAAGCTGAGGGGCGCCGACACCACCAAGCAGAAGTACACGTCCAAAAAGGTAAGCGGAGGTGCTGAGGCTTCATCAGAAGGCGTATTCATACAAGAACGCACTCAACTAGATGGAACTTGATGTGTTTTGGATGATTATTCAAAGATGATGAGGCAAAATGTATTTATAGTTTTTATTGCCATTGCCTGAGCCGCTCAATGAGTGAAATGCTGAAAAATAAATGCAGAAAATCCAGCCTATTTTAAAAAAACATATCAACTTAATAATTAGGGTTAACCGTTTAGGAGATGAGTGGTTGTAGTCAAGTGACTTTAGTATTAATTGTGTTTGCCCTCTGAATCTGGAGCAGTTACTGAAGAGTCCAAGCTGGTCTTCATTTCTAGTTCCTTCTCTTACTCAACCTTCCCTCTGCAGACCTCCAAGAGGAAGCGGGGCTACATCAAGAACAAGCTGCCGTTCAGGAAGGGCAAGAAAACAACCAAGAAGTCTTTATAGAGAGCCCGCCTCCCACTGAGGGGCACACACTGTGGGCGGGAGAGGAGGAAAAAAATCAGAAAACGCACCAAAAAAACAACAACAAACAAAAAAAGCAGTAACGGCAGATCCACCAATCGAGATGAACGAGGAGCACCAGGCTTTCTGTGGATGCCCCCCACCCTCCTCAACCTGGAGGTCCAGGCTGGCAATGTTATCACCGCCTCAGAGAATGTGTCCAACCCCCAGCTGACCTTTGACCTGATAAGTCAAGGTGAGACATTTGCTAGTCCCAGATCCACCTCACGCTGGGTTTTAAACCCCTGAGGAACTGTGACCTTTTGACCCGCTTTTGTTTTTGTACTTGAATGTGCTCAAAGACGAAGAGGACGGAGGTGTCTTCCACGCGGGAGCTCCGCCCTGGATTGCCCTCTGACCTCCATGCGGCCCGACCAGCGCTGAAACCCAAACAGTGACTTTCGGCGTGGAGTGGGATGGAGTTTATTGGACTCATAGAAATCGGTTTCCCCACGTGTTCTTTTCTTTAACCTCTTCCTTATTACCAGGAGCATGCTTGTACACGTATGTGCCCACAAGGAGAAGCTGTCACTCTTCATTCAACTTTACTTTGCTGCGCTGAAGGGAGACATCGTTTTAGATCAAGACTGCACACAATACTTAAAAGGACACTCGGTACTGTAAAACAGGCAAACAGACTCTGTACGGCTGAAACAGTGTAATAACATCGTAACTGATGGAAAGACTCAAGTTGTGCCAAAACCAGATTAACCCATGTTATTCACATCCGTATCATTATTAGCACTTTGACCCACTTTAACATATCTTTGTCAAAGATGCTCTAGGGAAGCCGTGTCGTCACACAGTGCAGCACACGCGTGTGTTTCTGAGCTTCAGGCAGAGGAACGCATGAGGGTGCACGCTAGTCACATGACCGGGGATAATCAACGCTCGATCTGATGTCTAGCGATGATTTGGAGACTGTTTAAAAATACTCCAGTGCATCTTTCTAATTGGCTCTTTTTTATCTTCAGTTTTGACGTGGAATGTTGTCATGTCTCTTACAACATGAGTGATGTTATTTTGTTCCCCTCTGTGAAACAAACGCATAATCTTCTAAATCCTTTTTATTCTCGTTTCTTGAAGCCATCCCAAGAAACAGCTTTGATTCTGTGTTAAGGTTTTGTCATTAAAAAGGATAGTATGGCGTTGGCCTTAAATGAAAGGGTGAATTCCAGAGTGTATTTGGATGGAGGCTGCGGCGTCGTATCAGGAACATGTTTCTGTCTGGTTGTTGATTTTCTAAGTCGAGGTTTCTTCCATCAATTGTAATGATCTGGATGCAGGTGTGAGAATGAAATATGCCTTTTTTGATTAAAGAGGTTGAAATAACAACAGTTTTTTTCCTTATCTTGGCACTTTACACAACAAATGAACTGACAATATAGGACGGTGTACAGTTGATTTAATGTTTTTGTATTTTCAAATGTTACAGATGCAACACGTCTAAAAAAATGCACACGTAAAAAAAAACGCACAATAAAATAAAACATTCAATTGCATTGACAAGAATGCATGGTTTCTACATAAACTGTTACAGCTCCGTTGTCGAAGCGAGAATATACTTTCACACATCCAAATCATGAATGAATGCATTTCAAAAGTACAATGAGCACTTCCACGCTGCTCGCAAAAAACACCAACGAATGTGACGACACCAGAGAGACGCGGACTAACGGGGGCTCGGGATCATGAGGCGGCATCTTTACTGTTCGCCAGAGTGGACGACACAGAAACAATTAATGTATTTAAAGTGTGTCACTGGATTCAACTTCATGAAGATAATTTTTTTTTTTGGTTAAAAGATAAAAATGTGTCTTGTATTTTAATGTTAAAAGATTATTGCAGATGACTGCAATCAAAGATAAAAATCTAACTTGGGAAAAAATAATTGAACCCATTCAATTGAACAACGTGCCAGTAGAGCTGCTTGATTCCCATTGATCAGAAAAAATTGCATAGTTTGTAGGACTGCAAACCTTCAAACAGCGGAAGCAGCCTTGCTCGTGTTTGTGTTTTAACTGTTGCTGAGGATCTCCTGCTAGACGAAAAAGGAAATGCAACACACAACACTGCTGCTTTGTTCACTCCATTGACTACACATTGCACCAAAGGTTTTTACCTGGGTGTCCATTGATTTCAGTATTTTGAATGAACTTGAACAAGGTTGCTTGTTCGAGGTAGGTAAACACTCAAAGGGAACATTACTTCACCGTATTATAAGTTTTCATGTTGAGCTAAATATTTTCCTCCACTCGGCCCCATCAGTTCCTCTTCACTTTGACACTTACTGAGCATCTGAACGAACAAAGGAGTTCAAAAAAGAATCTGCATAATCAAGATGTTCAAATGGAATCTCCACAATTACATTTGTACCAAAATGAATGGAGCATTTGGCAGTAACAGTGTATTTGTAGTCAGTGGGCTTGAACATGTAAAAATACTGGCACTGTCCTCTAATTGAATAATAATAAACTACAGGATGGAGAGATGAATTCAAGACTGTCTGTTAAATGTTACCCCCGTTTCTTTTTGCCAATTTTATGAAACACTTTCACCATTAATATTCCAATTCCACATTGATTCCTCTCTTGTCACAGGGCTTAATGAACAGTTAGTCCTCTTCTTCATCGTCTCCTCCAAAAGAGAGAAGGCTGTTATTTTTTACCTTCTTCCCAGACTTCTTTTCTTTATCATTATTCATCTTTTTCTTCTTCTTTTTCTCTTCCTCCTCCTCCTCCTCCTCCTCCAGCACTTCCTCCTCCTCCTCCGCTTCGTCATCCTTCTCTTCCTCCTTCTTCTTCTCTGCCCCACCACTCTTCTTGTTCTTTTTGCTGGAGCTGGCGGTGATGCCCTGGTATTTGTCAGAGGAGGAGCGCTTGGCAGGTTTCTTGAACAGGATTTTTCCATCAGCAGGAGGTTCATCCTCTGCGGGGCAGGACGGGTGTGTGAGGCTCATCAAGACAAACTTATTTTGGATGTTGGCAGTGTGATGAAGTGTTTAGCTGGGTAATACTGTCCATGGAGGGCCGGCTGATGGCTCTTACCTTTCTCCGCGGCGCCAGCGCGCGTGGCGCCCTTGATCTTCTTCAAATCCTCTGCAGTCAAGTCTCCTCCTTTTAGAACCACAACTTGGGGTAACTCGTCCTCTCGATCACTCCCGCTGTCGTCATCAAGCGTCGGCATCACCTGACGCTGGTGGGGGGAGAATAGACAAAGACGCGTTTTTCTAACGGGACACCGGGCCTGTGTGGCGATTAGCCCCGTTTACAAAAAGGTCCATTCACCGCGCTGCGGGAAAAATAGATGCGGAGGATTTTTAATTTAGTTGGACATCTCTACAACCGAATAACATACATATGCAGCTGGTAGAAGAGAAAGCGACCGCCTAGTCTTCACTGAAATGAGCTAACGTTAACGTTAACGCAATATGTAACGTAACTGCTAGCTTCATGTTACCAGAGCTAGCCAAACCACCACATACCTTAGTGTCAACATTCGGACCTTCTTTGTAGCCGACGTCATTTTTAAACTTCTTCAAAAAGGACGGTTCTGCTGGCTTCACCCACGACACGCCACTGGCCTTGTTTTTGTTCATTGCAGATGAAGTTATACAGCACCAACACCCAGATAAAATACAGGCCGTAAACACACCGTTAGGACAGCAAAAGGTTTCACCAAAACACAACATACGTCATTAAGATGTGCCGCTTCGAGTCACGTGAGTTCAGACGCGACTGTAATTGGCCGATGGGTGGAAGTGAGGTAAAGATGGCGAAAACGTGAGCAGAAGTTCTCTTCAAAATAAAATTCAAAAAGATGTAAATTTTGATCGAGTGGATATCTTTTTGTGGTGATTATCGGTGACACATCAGGAGAACATTGTCGTTGTGATTTAGCGTTACTTAGGGAACTATCAAAGATATCAGTGCTATGTAGCGATCCGTTTTAAGCAGTATTTTGTTTTGAAAAATACACACCACCGTCCGCTTTACGTCTGGACAGTAGACGTGCCATGGACTCCGCTTCCTGCACTGTGTGTCATTCAAACATGATTTCAGGGTCTGTTTACGCCTTAATAGCGGGCTTTTTGGGGGCCGCTGCCTCGCTGTCTGCCAAGCTGTCCTTCGGCGCGGACTACTTGAGGGACATGTGCGAGTCGGGACTCAGCGGCTGGACTCGAACACCCAGTGGAGCTTCAGCCTGTGACTGGGTGAGACAAAGTGTAACGTTACGCGCTTACAGTTCAATGTCTTACACAACCGTCCAAACCAGTGCAGTAACCCGTTTGGTTAGTCCTCAAATACACAGGAAGTCTCCCGTGTGAACCACCAGCAATGCAGAAGTGCAGCATTCTCACCAGCAGAGGGCGACTGTTGCAAAATGACTACTCACTTGACTTATTCCCTCAATAGCTCAGTAAACATGAGTTTATGGTTTCAATACAGCATGATGTTCATTTAATAAACTGTTGTCTATTATAAAGCAGAGAATGCTTTAGGGCGGGCTTACTGCTGTGATTGACAGGTCTCTATGGCTACTGGAGACTCATGTCTCTACTTTTCTCTGCATTCCAAATATGGTATCTTCTATTCAGCGGTTGTAAAAAAAGTCAAGATGAAAACACAATCCAAGATGCTCTACGGAGAAATTGTCAAACTCGAGGCTTCAAAACAGCAGTCCACATGTCAATGGCAGCAAGGCCGAGATGCTCCCCGGGGCTCTGGCACAAGATGGCAAGTCTGTGGCAGTCGACAGTCACCGTCTCGGGACTGTTGCCACCGAGCTGCCAACGAGGTCCCACAGTCCTGACGCCTGACTGACGACTGCTTGGTGCAACAGTACGGCCTTTGTAAGGGCAGCTGCAGGATGTACTAGAAATAAAAAGGGTGATCAAATGCGACTAGGAGCCCAGTGTAGTTGAACCTACTGCCCTTCGAAGGGCGGCGCCGACCTCTGTAATCCTGTCCTGCTGACATGAGCTAATGCTAAAACATTGAATGCCATCACATCATTTATCCTGCCTCTGTGGTCACGTGGCTGACTGCTGCTTCCTGAATCTTCACAGCTCCACATCCCCCTGAGGCTGCTGTGTGGCGGCCTACTGCTCACCTGCAACGCCGTCATGTGGACCTTCTTCTCCAAGGCTCTCCGACACTGCTCCTCCTCGGCCAGGGCCACGGTCACCACCACCGCATCCAACTTCCTCTCCTCGGTACGTCTTTACACCCGATGCCTTCACTCTCTTAGCGGGGCTGAGAAATAAATGTACACGGCAGCGCAGAGCACTGGAGACAGGTCTCGTCTCACAGCCAGTTGTGTCTCCCCGGTTGTGCGTCCAGGCCGTCCTGGGGAGGCTGATCTTTGGAGAGAGCCACGACGCTTTGTGGTGGGCGGGGATCTCTCTGACGCTGTGCGGACTGCTGGTGCTTCACGGATCCGTGGCGGAGACCCCCCCGCAGGAGGAGGGCAAAAAGGATAAGTAATGTAGCTCACTCAGAGAACTTCCTTCAGGACCTTAAAGTGGAAATATTTGTTTTTCTAGGACTGTGCCCCAGTTGTAACTCATTCGGGCAGGACGTTTCCTTGCTTGTCCCGGTTGGCGTGCAGCTCGCACCCCCCACCTGCACTGGGACAGCAGATAGCAGCGCTTGTTGTTCTGGAGGGTCCCCATCAAGGATAGGAACACACATCAAAGGATGCCTCTACACGGTGCCTCACTGAACACTGGCGTGGAGGAGCTGCTTTAGCTGCTGCGGATGTGCTGCAAAATGATTAGAACTTCATTTAACCAAAGATGACTTTTAGCTCTGTGAGACACGTCTTCAACACGATCCTTCCCGTTTATTTCTTTTTCTTCTTTGTAAAGCCCATTGGGCCAAATTGAAATAAATAAACCTGACTCAACTCGGCTGTCTGGTTTAGCTTCTCCCGACTGGCAGCCCCGTTAATCCTCGATGGGCAATAATCCACTGCCAGTTACAGATGTTTGGCACAACTGGTGGGTGTTTTTTGAGGCGGCAGCTCGTCCGTGGATGAACCCACCTTCACCCACACCTCACCAGGACGACCAGAAATAGAACAAATGGCCTGGGATACAAATCAAGATACGGAAGTCTGAGGGTCTAGCTGAACAAATGAAACCTATTTGAAACATTTTTATAATCTTTTTTGGAATAAATCACACTGACCGTCTTTTGAAAATTCATGCTTGTACTCTGTCTTGTTTGAGCCCAAACTCCTTGGATGTATCCACTCACCCAAGCTGCTTGTGATTCAGTGTGCTCAGCCTCCAACACAACGTTTTGGTGTTTACAGGTAACTGATGGTTATAGATCTACATTGTATGGTAAGAGGTGAAACGCTTGCCCTTATTGGTTTGGTGCATGAGGATATACGTTACACAGCAGCCACGTGAATTTTGAAATTATGGCAATATCACAAAAACAAGCTTTTGGTTGAGAGTTGCGTTTCAGATTATTGATTTAAAAAAAAGTCATTTTGTTTTGATGCATTTTATTGTGAATATTTTCGTCATGCAAGTTTATAAACAAAATAAGCCCATTGTTTCCCATCCCTTTGGTTATTAACAATATGAACTATTGAAACAATAGCGTTTGTCATGTACAGAAGTTATAGTACTTATTTTAAAATTAAAAAATGAGACCATTTGTTAAAATATCGTGAACGTAAAAAAGAAAAGGAGTCGTCCACGCCATCAGCACCCTTTTTGGAGCCCTTATACAATAAGCTCTTCCACATGAAGTCCGTTACATGGACAGCAGAGTGAGAGAGACGAGTAGTGGAAGGCAAGTCGTCCCGCAGAGGGTTCCCCCGTCCACCCCGTCTCCACGTCAGGAAGGATAAGGCACAACGTGGAGAGAAACGCACAGAAAGGCGGCGGAGACGACAAACTGCTTGAGCTTCAGAGACACATTAGAGCTACTTGTCGTGTCGTCTGACGGAGACGACGCATTGAGGTCATTTAAAATCCATCTTCACCTTTTAAGTCAGAAAACACAAGTGAAGGCTGGAAGGAACGAAGGGCAGAACATTTAGAGAAAGACGCTGGTCTGGAAAAGGTTCTTGTACTTCCAGAGTACACCCTGCAGAGGACGGCATAAATGCTGGAAGAGAAAGTAGATTTTTCTATTTCATTTACATACATTCTTTGAGATAAAAAGATACATTCAAATTCCAGGTAGTTTCTTGCTTTTCAGAAAGTCCCAATAAAGTCTGAGCGTGCGTGCACGTATTCCCAGAAGGGGCTGCCGGTCTTCCTGTGTGCAGGCGGTACTAGTTGAGTGGTATCTCGATGACGTCCTCCTCGATGATCGTCCCCTGAGGGACGGGGACGTGCCCCGACAGGCTCTTCTTGCAGCTCAGCTGTGCGAAGGGGCTGCACCACGCCAGAGACGGGGGGCCGCCAAACGCCGCCTGCATGGCCTCCCAGTACGGCAGGTTCCCCCACCGCCCCGTCTCCCCCTTCAGCCGCTCGATTCCCTGGGGAGGACACGACAGTGAGGGCCGACGGAGACGGACAGCCGTCTTCTACATGCACCACTGAACACAACGAGGACACGGGTTGATGAGTCGGCCGACCGGTCTGTTTCTCACACACTAATCAGGCTCAAATAGTTAGATTTACATCATATCTCTTAATACAGCACCCATTTGTTTTATGTGTGTTGAAGGAGTAAGTGGTCAGTGTGATCAGCTACTACGCGGCTTCAGCACAAACCGCACGGTTTCATTGCTTGTGATTTGTGGCAGGGTCCGTTTTACCTGTAAGTTCGGTATCAGACAAAAGGGCCGGTGGAGTTTAGGAGGTTCGAGGGGAAACAAACCAGATGGGTCTGCACAACACAGCGAGGAAACAGAACCTTTGTACTAAAGACAGGTGGTCCGTTTCTACGTGTGATTTCAATGACGAGAAATGTCATAAAAAATTGCGCAATTTTATGTTTGTATATGCATATTAGAAGTAAAAGGTAAAATCGAGGACTGAATCCGGTTGAGAACTATTTCAAAATGTTACAATTAATGGGAATGTTGTTGAAATTGTATGCGCGTGTTTCTACCCTAGAATGTCACGTTTTAGGACATTTTTATGACAATATGCAACTTGTCACAGTGGAATGTGCTGAGAAAGTTATGCAGTATTTTAAGTACTAAGTATAAAGTGCTTTCGCTACCCTCATAATACTCATAATATTTTGTTGTTACTTTGGGTTTTAGACTCCTCTGTGTGCCATTTCTATGCAGAGAATTGATTATGAGCAGGTGAGGAAATCGATAAAAGATTCTCACCAGCAGAAGCAGAATCGAAAGCCGTTGATATCAATAAAATCGTACAAAGGAGCGTCTTAGCACAGGAAAACCCTTCCATGGGGAGAAACCTTCTGATGTGACGGTTTCGGGACATGTGTACAGACTGTAAAGCCCTCTCAGGCAAATTGGTCATTTGTGATTTTGGGCTGTACAGAATAAATTGAATTGATTAGCCTAACTCAGCGGGCTGAAGACACCAATTAGCCGTGGATGTGGTTCCTCTTTCAATGTCCATAAAACGTATGCGTACTGTAAAACAATAGGAAGTCTGTCCGTGGAATACTTTTATATCCGTTCTGACTAATCTGTTTAAGAAACGCGGCAACAATCAGTAAAACACAGTACAAAATGACTCGCATGCAAAAATAAAAATAAACCTGCGGAACGAGCAAACAAGTCAAATTGTCATGATGGAGCATGCATCGTGTTACACACTCACTCACTCATATAACGTATGGCTGAATCTGAAATCACGCGTACTTTGGCCTTCCAATTGAAAGCAGCATGCTTGTGACCCGGCAGCTAGACGTCACCTCTGTTGCGAGCTTACCTCTCCTCAAGGTTACAAAGAGTTGTCTGCTTCAGAGAGCTTTTGGCGGAATGAGTTATCAACCAAAGCGGATGCATGAGCGCAGAGAGAACATTGCACGGGAAGAGGCAGTTTAGAACAGAATGAAGGACCAGGGGGGGGTGGGGGGGGGAGAGCAGAAACCTCTTCTGTAACCTCACTGACACACAGGTTGAGAGGTGGAGACACAGTTGGGTGGAGCAGGGCCCTCAACAATAAGAGATACATGCGTTTAGAAGATAAGCAAACAATGTTCTTGCATTGCAACTGAGAAGTATTTTTATTTCCCTGCTGAAATATTTTCAGAATATTTAAAAAGAATCAAAATTTCAGTAAAAATAAACCCCAAATCATCTCCATCACCATCACTCCCCCAGCGATGACTCGCCGTCATCGCGCCGGCAGCGTTGACCTAACGAACCTTCACCTGCACCGTGCATTCGGATAACAAAGGATACACAACGGATCGTGTCGACAAAGAACAGCAGCATACAATGCACACTTCAGAACACAGCAGTTCACACGGGAGAAAATCTTAAAGAGTGAGTACAAAGTGCCAATCAGCCATTTTAGTACTTAAAGGTGTTTGATGAAAGTTAAGGAAGGAGGCTGGAATGTGGCGGTGCAGGGACGAGGTCTGTGTGTCAGCAACGGGATCCATCACATTATTGTAGAAAATAAACTGAAAAAAGTTTTTGATACTTTAATGTTTTGTTCCATTATTTGGAAGCTTGGTTGCTACAAAACATTAAGCTACAAAAAAAAACTACAGTCCTGTCACATGACTCCACGTCCCCCCCACTAAAGGCAGACGAGAGTTCTAGTGATGACATTTGTAGTCATTTACCTACATGTTAGCAGCCGCCATGTAGAAGACACAAACGCTTTAAAAAAATCAAAAACTGGTTTCCCTCCATGCCCACATTTTAGGACTCATTCCTGCACTACTCATTCTCTTCACTCACACACACACACACACACACACACACACACACACACACACACACACCCAACCAAGGCATGGGAGGGGGTCGGCTTTGTTAATGTCAGGCATGTATCAGAGCGGAATCAGGTCCACACCTGGGGGGTATTGCACAAAAGTAGAATAAAGAAATCCAGGATAAGTGAAAAGGCGCAGCTTGACTTTGTGTGATCGGCTCACGTTTGCAGTCAGGATGAGAAGGCGGAGCTAAGTCAATCCAGATGTAGACAGCTGGGATAAGGGCGCCATGGTATCGATCACAGATTTACTGATGCAGAAATGGAGAAGACGCACGCTGCATATTTTTTACCCACTGAGCAGCAACTAATTATGGAAACTAATGAGGAAGTGAAGCATACAATATGCAAAAAAGAGAGAAAAAAGGTTGTGGACCACTGAGGTTTAAAATCAAACTGGTGACAGCAACAGTGACAAGTAATGCATGTTAATGGAAACAAATCTGAACACATTCAGAAGACAACGGAATAAAGACGTTGGTTTGGGATCAGAGCAGCAGCTGATTTAACACTTGAGACTCCAGGATTAAGTTTAGCCTGGCCGTTAGCCTGGCCGTTAGCCTGGCCGTTAGCCTGGCCGTTAGCCTGGCCGTTAGCCTGGTCTGGAGCCAGCTAGCTGCAAAGAATAAATCGCCATGGTTACATGGCTGGTTAAATTCAACCTGCTTTCGTGCAACCAAGTCCCAGCTAAATTCATCCAGGACAACGGGAATATCCCGGCTTAATCCCTTATCCTGGTTTCGTGCAATAGCCATCAGGGCTACATTGAACTGCAGTGGGACTTTCTTCAGCTGTGTTCTCTCGTCAAGAGAGGCCCAAGCACGAGGCTACCAAGGGACACTGGGTCAATTGTTATGCTTTTTCATGCCGTGTGGATTATTTCAAGAGATTTACGAGCTCCGGTAAACTAAAGACTAAAAGCAAGTTTACCCATCAATAACATTTTAAAAAGTCTAGGAGGGAGTGGGCACCAGATCTCAGTATTTACAATGAATACATTGATGCAAGATTTTACCAATCAACAATGCTGATGCTTAAACTCTTCCTTCATGTGTTCAGAAGAAAGGCTGTTACTCACCGGGGGGTGAATTTAAAAATAAATAATGTTACAATATCATACAGGAAAAAAAATGATCACCGGTGGGACAATTTGTCTTTCACTGCAAGAATTAAGGCATCGACCAATCGCGTTGTGTGGAACGGGCATCTATGCTGGCATACGGTCATCCACTCCTCACCATCTGACAAGATGCTTTAACAAGGGTCACCACTAGTGCTTTGTAGCCATGCAGATAGTCCAGGGTTACACATTTCTGTATGATTGAACAAAACATGCAAATTGAAACTATACAAATAATTATTATAGTATATTCAATTCCATTCCCCAACACCTAAAACCTACCAGCATGGCCAGACATCAAAAGGGCTAAGTGAGTCAAGACCCAAGTGAGACAATGGGTCTTCTTTGGAATGTAACTGAACGAACTATAAAAAAGGGAAAGCAGGAGGAAACATAGTTCTACAAAAAGCTTCGGATTCAACAACAGAAAACAAAACATAACAAATTTGCAAAATGAAAGTGCTTTCTTTTTCTCTGCAACTCAACGCACAAGGCAACACAAAAGGAAACGTACAGCGCATTTGGACGGCAAAACAAAGGGCGGATGGGAAGCGCTCCATGGCTAATGTGTGGGGGATGTAAATCGTGTTCAGCGGCGGGAGCAACGGGGCTGCACGGCGTTCCCCACTGTGGTTCCGACCCGCCGCCTCGAGCTCTCACACCACATACTGGTAGGTCTCTGCCTTCCCATGGTCAGGCGTGGAGAACGGACTAAACCACAAAAAGGAGAACGGGTGTCCGAATACCGCCCTCATGTTCATCCACTTAGTTTTTTTAGACCATCTTCTCTCTTCCTTTTTCAACTGCTCTATGCCCTGAAAATGAGAGACAACCAAACTTCAGTTGGTGTGCGTTTTGGGACCCACTCAGCAACACAAACCAAATTGCAAATACAGACTTTTTGCAGCCCCACTAAATACTTAAAACAAGGAGCAAATCTTGAACCCTCCTGAAAACTTTAATTTGAGTGGCATCATGTAGCTGCTTGTGTCCTGGAGGCTCCCTATTTTTTCAGAACCACTTTCCCCGTGATTGACACATCAAATGTCTCCTACATATCTGACCAAGAGTTGCAGACAAAAAGAAGTTGAAAGCAGGAAAGGGAGTTTGGTTTGGTGAGCTCCGATACACACAGCAGGCTGAATGCTTTTAGGATGGCACCAAACTACACAGGAGGGGTTAGATTCCTTCCTCCACGGACACATGGACACTCCCCGTTGCTTCTGTAGTACATGCCTTAGTGTTTTACACACAAACCACTACCTCTGTTGCTTGTAACCAAATGTTAAAAAGTCACGAGCAGGTTGTTCATGCTAAAGGGAGTAGAGGGTTAAATGTGTGACTTTTGGCCTCATCAGGAAATGAGATTTATAGAGAACAAGTCAAAATGTTGGGACTCATTCTCAACAATCAATTCAATGAGAAAGTGCGTCAGTCAGTGTTTCCCCAACCATGATATTGGGAGACCCCCCCCCAATTGGTTGACTAAGGGGGAAACACTGCACATTATTTAAACCCTTAATTAAAAAAAACAGAATAATTTTATTACATTTTAAATAAACACAACTAGTCTGAAAAAAATATGAATAAGGAAAAGTTAACATTGCTATTTAGATTGAATTGTTATCTCGGAAAATCTAATTGCTAATTCAAAACAGTGTAAATGTTGTTTTGTGGGGGAACCTTTTCTTCTACATTTAGATCACAGACTGCTTTTAAAAAGGTAATTGCAAAAACGTACCAAAATGAAAATGTGGGAAAAGCGAGCCGTAGAACATCTGCGTTCAATTGGAAATGTTCAATTGACTTGTAGAACCGGTATGAATATAATTTATCAACAGATACACGCCAAATAAATCCCCAAAGGGAGAGAGATAGAAACAAAGAGAGGGGCTTATACAACTGCATGTGGCTACTCTGCAACTAAGACAATGCGTCTTAATTGGACTCCACAGTTTGTACAACAGAACCTAAATATCCACAAATGTAACTCATTATCCTAATTTTTTTTTGGCAGTTTAGCACTTTTCAGACAGTGTTTTCAGTGAAAGTTAAGACTCGCAGTTAATCCGCTGCATCAACTCTACATCAGGCTGCAGGATGAAAGTTTAAATCAGAGGTGGCCGCTCGACGGGGTCGAAGGTTAAAAGCAAAGGGGGCGGCGGCAGCAGGGAGGAGAGTAGTGACATAAGAGGGGGGAGGACTGCGGGTCGCTGAATGGATCACTTACGGTCTCGTCGGTACAGATGGAGTGGACTTGGGTGCCGAACATCACAGAGGTGAAGATGAGGAAGAGGAGACCCTCAAAGCACAGGAGTATGAGGAGGATGACTGTTGCTGGAGGAGAGAAGGAACTGCACTCTGGGCGTGATGGAGGGGGATGAAGGGAGAGAAGTGAAGGGGGCAAAAAGACATATGAGGAGCTACTTTACACTACGAGAAAGGAACTACTGCACTCTACTGTTGGTCTGTCTGCAGCGTTAGTAAGGACGCGAGGCCCCGAAGCATCTGATTTAACCTCTTGTCACCTGCTGATGGTGCTTCTGATGCGGATTTCCTGCTGATGGAGGAAAAGCAGTCAGTGTGCCCTACATGTAGCAGGATGCATTGAGCAGGAGTGAAGGTTTTGCTACTGTAAACAATAAACAGACCTTGCAAATTGAGAAAATTTGATAGATAAATTGAAGTTTATCTGTTACACGGAAACGAAGAGCGTAAATCGCCCACCGACTTGTCACAAAAACACAATTGTAGTTGGACAGACACTAAAGACATCTTAGTTTCCATTGTTCCTATAATCACTGACTTTGGCTTTGCTCTAAATAATCCTTAATTCCCAGAAATCATGCCGTCCCCTGATGTGCCTGCAGCAGCTGTAGCGTCTAAATACGATGACCCGCTAAGAGAAGCCATTTGTTGCTGTTGGAAACATGAATGCAACGAGAAAAGGAACTTTTTGCGGGACAGTGTGTCTGTGTGTAGTTACCAGAGCGGAGAGTTGCACTCTGTAGTTCTTCCTCATCGCAATTAAGAGAAGGGGAATGTCAATAACAACTACTGGCCTTTTTCACAGTAATAAGTACGTTATAGTTAGAGATAACATTAAAAATCTCAATTTTCTTTTCAAGAATTATTTAAACTGGTCGCATAAGAATATATAAGTTAAGAATATATAGTGTTATTTTACCGATAAAAAACCTGACAAAACATTTCAAAGAACCGTGACGGATTAAAAAAGTTTATTTTTTGATGAATGAAAGGAAAATTAATTAGAAAAATTAAGAAAAATAAAAAAACACTCACTTGTCCAATCGTCTTCAAAGCAGTAGAGGAAATGGAAGACCACCATGACCAGAGAGTGAAGAGAGACGAGTGCAATGTACATCTAGTTTGACAAAAAAAGAGACAATAGAGAATCATTCATCACAACCACTTACTGGTCAATCATTCATCACAACCACTTACGGACATGCAAAGTACGCAAGGGTCCATGTGAGGTACAGTCAGTCAGTCAGTTATGACCTCCGAGATCACTACATGTGACGGCAACGTCTTATTGTGAAAAGCTGAATATTGGCAACCTTCTTGAGTTTATAACATAATGAAACTTACTGTGAAAAGCACAAAGTACTTTTGGTTGTTCTCCCCAACACAGTTATTTACCCACGGGCAGTGGTGGTCCATCTTGCGTATGCAGCGTTTGCAAACACTGAGCGAGAGAGAGAGAGAAAAAATAAAAAATAAAAAATAAATAGATTCAAATAAAGATGTGTACACTGACTCCACTTTCAACACTGCCTTACCTGCAGTGGTGTGCTCGGTCAGGCTTGATGCTGCAGCACTTGGGACATTTGTAGACCACCTGCCCTGGTTTCAGCTGAAGGCTTTCTATGTATTCCTTGGTGGCATTCCCCTTTGGCACCGCCCCCTAGCGGAGACACACACACAAAAATGGATTAATAAAGCCTTTATGGGGCTAAAGACCCTTAAATTATTCTGCATGATACTGAGAAACCCTATAGAACCTCTACAGTTGGGTCCCTAAATTGACACGATTATTGTTTATTTTCTGAAATGTTATGTTATGTTAAAATATACAAATGAGGTAGTGTCTTGTCAAATATAAAATTAATTTGCACACAAATATTTTGGATCACTTTTTTTCATTCCATAAGTTAGAAAAACAGTCTACAAAATAAAATAGTAATAATTATGTTTTTTGTAAAAACGTCCAATAAATCAGACTGTGAACATAAAATGAAACCGAAGAGACTCCAAATGCTGTGCACTGCGGCTTCACAGTATGGCCAAAAATCCTTATCACGGTATTAAAATATTCCGAATGTATTCTGACAGTATTGCTTTTTCAAGTAAACACATTAATTCATTGACCTCGAAAAGGACCGCGGCTAACAGCTGCTCGCTGGCCAACTTGCTCGCAACTGGCCCGGCGAGTTAGCTTGTTAGCGTGTTAGCTCGTTGTGGCTGCTGGTGTTGCCACCAGAGGCGCGACAGACTTTGCAATAAATCGTTTTCTGATCTAACGGACGTCACATTTTCCAAAACCAAAAACCCTCCAAACAGACAACTCCTCTGTTGGGCATAAAGTTGTGTTGGTGCATCTCTGGTCTCTCAATTATTAGGGTTACAAATGTGTCACAAGCTGAGTTATTCATTGTTGTTATGAAGTTATTACCGTGACTCAATCTCAACACACGTAGGACAAGTAGCTCTGACCGCTGGACGCTCCTGGATGTCGTGTAGGAATTAATTCGGCCACCCGTCATTTGTTATAGCATAACAGCGGTATGAACGGTACGTGAGAAATTCATACCGTACGGAAATCTTATCGGTATATACCGTTTGAACCGGTACACCACGCAGCCCTACTGTGATCTACGTCCGGATGGAGCCGCTACTCCCCGGTGGGGCGTTTTGTCGGGAGAAGAAAAACGCAACCTGGTTCCATCCTGCGGTAGGTACATTGCCCGAAGGCTGGCCGGACAAGGGGCAGCCCCAGCCTGAAGGGTGCGGAGTCGGCAGTAATTACAGGACATTACAAGCCCCCTGCGGTCATGAGCGGACCACTGCCCAGAGAGCTCCTGTGTCCGCGCCATCTACAGACAGAAATAGACCACGTAGTACGGCTCGGCGGTATACCGGATACCAAACCGTGACAGGTACACCTGTTTCATAGATGGGCTTTTTCACACCGGTATATAACTATAACTATAAAGGACTCGTCGCCCTCCAGCAGTCAGACAAATATATTGCTCAGCGCTCATCGCAGAGGGAACAGCGGTCATGGCTACTTGTATATGGTTATAACTTTATTACAATTAATAACAACGCAACAAACGCTCTTAACAGGGTAAAAAAAAGAATCTTTAGCCATGCTGCCCTGTAGTAAAATAAACATCTACATGTGCAGTGCGGATGTTTTTCTTTGCACAAAATGAATAGTTTAAGTAAATAGATTTTACATGAGATGTCTCCCCTTGAAGCATCAGCCTGTCATCAAATTCTTCAGTTGTGTGTTTGAATAAACACCAAACAAAGTGCCACTTACCGGATCAGTGCACATGGCCCTGAGGTGTGACGCAAGGGCAAGGAAGGCCAGAATGTTAAACAGGGTCCCGTTCACGATGCTGTAGGTCAGATTCTTGGAGGGCAGCAGCATTACAAACAGCACCACAAAGTCCGCGTACAACACCAGCAGCCAGGTGATGAGGGCGCACACAATGCCACAGGCGTCCCTGATGAACCACATGGCGGAGGCCGCGGAGGAAGTGATCACGTCTTTGGAGATAGGGATGCGCTGCTCGGCCTGTTGGCAGTTGGCCCGAGCCCCGGCCCGGCCCTGCGCGCGCCCGTGCTCCACATCCCTGCATCTGTGCACCGGGCTCTTCATGCTGCACCGGATCCACCGCGCCGTCGGCCCGCAGTCTCAGTCACCGCATACTGGAGCTGAGGAACGGGGCGGGGGGGGCGCAGTTTAAAAAGGCACGGTTTAGGTTTGGACATTTCAAACATACGTAGTGCCAACCAAACAACGCAGTGTTTAACAGTGGAACGCCATCTGAAACAGGGCTGAGCGATATGGACCAAATAAGAGATTTAGAAGAAAAAAAACATTCATTTTTACAGAACTATTCTTATAATTAGAAATTGCTCATTTAAGTTTATATTTCAATTTTGAAAAGGTTGATTGATTGATTGTGAAGCCCTGAAATAGCCAATTTAATAACCACATAGGTTTATAAGCAAAGCATGCACTTTGAAGTAGGATGGGAGGCAGAGCCTTCAGTTATCAAGCTCCTCTTTTGAACTTTGTTTCTTCACGGAGTATTTGTGCTTTCCCGCCTCACAGGTTTTCATGGTTCTATCTGGATCCTGTTCCTTTCTCCTGCCGTGGCCCCGCTGACACCTTCTGCTGTTGCTATCATCATAATCATTATTTTAAATATTAATCATATTACTCTCATCGTAAACCAACGGGACCTTTTCCTAAAGCCATTGTGCTTTCCCTCCCCACAGGCTTCTGTGGCTGGTGGTTCTATGTGATGGTGGTTCTAGGTGATGGTGGTTCTATGTGATGGTGGTTCTATGGAATGGTGGTTCTGCCGTACACCTGGCTTACTACTCGCAATTATTTGAATAGTTTCTGTTATAGGAATCAAATGTATTCTACATCGTTTACATTGTTCATTCTGTACACATGACATCCATTGTCCATTAAGCCCTCCTCCAACGTGCTTCCTAATGTTTCTTTCCCCTTTTTGGGGAGTTTTTCCTGTGCCGTATTTCTGAACAGAGGATGTTGCATCTGTACAGACTGTAAAGCCCTCTGAGGCAAATTTGCGATTTTGGGCTAAACAATAGGAGTTAATTTGAAGGAGTAAGGGCAAAGATGTTTATATTTATGACAACACCAGTGTGGCTACTGTATATAAGGGCTACTATATATCACTTCATTAATACATTATTTTTCATATTCATTAATCTGGTGATTATTCTATAACATCTTAAAATAATGAACATCACAAGTTCACCAACCAAATGTTTAAATTAAAAAAGCCATAATGCTACACCTGAAAATAGGTGTATGACACTGCAGATCTGTGGGCTGAACCATCTGACAAAGGAAACACCGACAGACAACTGAACCTTCCTGTTCTACAGTGAAACGTTCACTTAGGCAAACAAAACTCATACCGGATCATTCATATATTTAGAAATACGTTACCATACATCTCTGAAACTCCCTAAATCAGGGACTCGTGCTAAGTCCTAAACCCAACAGACGATGAGTGGCTTGAAAGCAGGCGGTGGGACATTAGGGGCCTCTGGGCTGATCTCGTGTATCTCAGTGGTGTTGGGATGTGACCCCTTCGACACAGTAGAGGTCAGAACCAGCAGCGAGCTGCACACTGCAGAGACCAGCGAGTGATTGACAGGTGGGCGGGGAGGTTTGAGTAACGCAAGACCACGTCATTATATGAGTTAACGTCTCATATGATTAGCTATGTGTACAAGATCATTCGAATACCCACTGGTTTGTAGCTCACGCGGACCAAAATGTCGCAAAGGGTAAAACAGTTCTAACGTTACCTTATGCTACGCTAACAAGCAGCTCAAGGGAAACGGGTAATATGGCCGCTAGTCATTTCAACTTCAGTCAAACACACGACTGCATTTCTGTGCGGTTACACCGTCCGAAGGCCAAACGTTTAATGGTACTGAAACATGACAGCATCTAAAAGCACAACACACATTTAGCTAACACGAGACGCTAGCTGCTCAGCGAATGCTTTAGATGAATCGTTTAGTGAGCCGTTTGCCTATTTCTGTTGGTGTCCTTCGCTTCATAGCTGTAAAGCGGGAGGTCCTCCAGTACGACCATCTTCCTTACCTCACTATAGCCCGATAAATCTCACCTGGTAGACGGGCATCCTTCGTGGGCTTTCTCGGATGTTGCTGCTCCGTTGCGTCCCCTCGGTTACAGGCAAGTCTTCCGCCTCTTCACCAACGACAGGACGTCATGACGTAGGGGAACGCAGCCAATGAGATCATCGGGAAGGTTCCCACGCTTTCACACGTCACAGGACACGCACAATTTCAGATGGATTTATTTCTCAGCCGTCCATATGTTCAATTACTTGTCAATCGTGCACATTTGTAAAACATTTTTTAGGAGGATTTCTAACGTCTTGTTTGATTTAATTCATGCATAAATACGTTTTTGGAAAGCCGTAATATGAAGAAAATACACACGACAAAGTAAAATATAAAAACAGGCAGACAGGCAATTATATTCCAAGAAAATGCATTTTCAAAATATAACTATGGCATCAATTTGGCCAGACCATAAATGTAAGAATAAGAAGATTAAATATTTAAAACTGGAGGTCTCGATACAGCACAAGCAAAGATACTCAGTTAATCCAGAACCAATTTTATGTGCAATCTGACAGCATATGTTGTGTGTAAAAGAGAAAATATCATGGATGCTGCCCTCCTCTAATAGTTTTGAAGTGAGTTTTCAAGTCATTGTGTCTGTAGTAAGAACTGAACGGCCCCTGACCTCTTTCCAAATGTTTCTTTTAGCTGATATCCATTGATTGATTTACACAAATCAAACTGCTGTATCCTCATATTTCCCTCGAATATTTTGTAATATACATTTTATACACAACAACAAGGAAAAAGGCCACTGATGACCCATTTCATTTGGTTTATGACTCACGCAAGAAGTCAAATGTCCAGTCTTGCGATCTGATTTAGTTTGAATTATTTCTGTGATGAAAGCAAACATTTCCCCTGCAGTCTCTTTGCTGTGGTAAAAAGCATGTTCTGAGTATTAAGTGAAGTGACAATGTATAAGGTCACAAAGAAAACAATTAAGTCTCTGATGACAAATCAATATAATATTTAGGTTAGTTACTAGGTTGGTTGAACTAAAACATAGTCATCACTAGAGGGCAGAGTCATACAGAACACTTCATTACGTACTCCATAAGACTCTTAGCTCTTGGCTTTTTGTCAAAAAAGTGTCTGGCAGCCAACCACATGGCTCATTGCTATGGAAAGCCATTTCCATTTCAATGGAAGCCCATTTCCGTCCACTAAAAAAGAAATTGAAGCGATGGAAAGTCCAAATTATGAAATGGGCTTCCATATTCCATAGCTTCCATAGATTGCTGTGTTTCATCTTGACAATATTTATATTCATTGAATTTGTCCCATGAAGTGGGTTTTGAAAAAAATGTATTATTTTTTATGGCTTGATTGATAATTATGTTTGCTTCAAATGATTATCATTTTAATAGAAAAACATTAAGGCAATGCACCTGTCCGCCTAAGTTATACTGGAAGAGCTATGGTAGGAGCATGGAGTAGAGAACCATATGTACTTAAAGTAATAGTTCAACTATATTCTGCAGTTGCTAACTATTAATTCAACTACAGTATTTGCGCAGTGACCCTAGAAGTTTAATTCAAACCGCCATCCAATAGCGAAGCCATGATCCATGGGAACCTGCGAAGCACTAACCACCGCCAGATTGTCAGTTCACAAACTAATGCTATACGGCGAAAACACCCAGCAATCCTTGACCGCGTTGTTAATGTTTTTTATCTGCCTCAGCCTCAGGTTCTCTGCCCTTCTGCACCTGCATTGTGGACTGAAAAGGCACGCAAGGGACACGCAAGGGGCTCTTGCCTCTGCGTCGATCTGAACACGCAGAAGCATAAACTAGGCTTAAGCCAGCTCCACCCTGCCAACCATCCCTCCAGCCAGCTCACCACTTTTCACCTCCTAGATCTTTATAATAAAGACTGTTGTGGTCCAGCACCACAACCAACATGACAGGTCCAGCCTAACCGGCGCCAGCCCTCACTATAAGCATTACCAAAGAGGAAAGTCTGGCCTAATGCCTCTAGCAGAATAGCCTGGTCTTAAATGAGGGGACGGTGTCTGCGGCCCGGACTGAAAGAGTAAGCTGGTTCCACAGAAGAGGAGCTTGGAAACTGAAGGCTCTCAAAGATGGAGATAGAGATGCTGCTGTATCTGGTCATCCAGGTTTTAATGTCCTTAAGACTGTCACGGTGTGGGTTTGTTTCATGTTTTATTTTGTAGTTTTCCTGCCCCTTGTGTCCCTGGGTTAACTTCACTTCCTGCCTGGTCCTGTCATCCCCTGTGATTGTCTGATTGTTTCCACCTGTGTCCAATCACCTGCACCTCCCAGTGTATTTAAGCCCTGTGTGTCATGTGTCTTTTGTCGTATTGATTGTTCAGTCCTGAATGTCCTACCCGCTGTTCCTGGTTCCTGTCTGCGTTTGGCTTCTTTTTGTAAATTTTGACTATTAAAGTCTTGTTTTGTTTTCAAGTCTGCGTTTAAAGTCCTGCCTCCACCCGCCCGTTCGTGACAAAGACATTGTTGAATCCGCCCTAAACCAGTTTACGGATGTTCCTTTAATAACAGTCAACTGTTCTAGTCTTTGAAAAAGGATGCAATGATTAATGGTGTCAAACGTAGCACTGATGTCCAACAAGACAAGAACAGTCCTGTTGGTCCTTTGTTGAATGCAAGTAGAAGATCATTTGTAATTTTCAACAGTGCTGTTTCTGGCCTATGATGCATTCTACATCCTGACTGCAAATCCTCAAATAAACCATTGTTATGTAGAAAGTACCGGAGTAACGGTACTTTCTCAAGTATCTTTGAGAGGAAGGGAAGATTAGAGTTTTATTTTCCAATCCAATTTATCTGGATTCAAAAATCAACAAACCAAACAATGAACGTTATTGTGCAGTTTGTGAACAAAAAAACCCCAATGATTTATACTATTTTATTTGTATTCATTGAGTTCATTGAGCATTTCCTATTTGTTTTACATCCATGTGTTGCATAATGCTGGATTCATCCTCGGTCAAAATAATAAAGAATATTCTGTCAGTAGGTAATTAGAAAGCTGGTTTCGTCATAATAATCCCCTTATCACTGTGACCTTAATAAATAGTCCAGTCGATTTTACACCCTGTAAAAATGACAATTTCTTCTAATTATGGATTTTATTTAAAAAAAAAAACTATTCATATCCATTGCAATCATCATTCATTATTGGTTGGGAGGATTGGGCTTTTTTAAAGGAAGACATTGTGACATCGGGAAAGATACAAGGTAAAATATCAAGTTATTGAGTGTAGGGCTCAGTGGTGTCGGAGTAACGTCGACTTGAGCGGAGAACAAAGTCCTCTCCCTCTGTGTGTGTCGTTATCTGAGCCTTTCTTTGTTGAGAAAGAAGGCCGCATTTGCTACAGCTCTGTTAGCGCGGTTATCTATGACCCACTGGAACGCCATCTCGCCGCTGACATGTTGAGATCCATTGTGAAGCAAACCACGTCCCTTCTCAATTCTCACACTCTGTAATCGGTTTCTTTCCTGCTTTGACCAACCAAAATCCCTGTTTTGAAAAAAGACCCATGTAGATGAGAAGATGTTGCACAGTCAAACATCTAAACAGAATTGCTGACTCTGCAATCATTCCTAGGGCTCATTTAGTATATGTAAACCTGTGGATTCATTGATTTGGACTGCTTCGCTGCTGTTAGAAAGGCTCACATCTGTTCTGGCCTGATGCAGAGTCCAGGCATGCGCAGGTCTCACGAAGGGGAACTTCTGCCTAACTGACCTTTCGCTAAGCCCCCCTCCTGCTGCTACTCCGACATGCTGTCGGAGCTGCATGTTGTCACCATCTGCACTCACTGAATAAATATTGTCTGACTGAGGGAAAGGTAGTTTGTCTCTGAAGAAGCAATTTTAGAAATTGCAATAACCTTTGGTTTGTAATCACTTGACAACTAAGGTGCTTTTTAACAGCAGTAATCCTGTTTCTAGGTTATTATAGAAAAACAATTTACCCTCAAAGTCAATAGCCACAACCACAAACATTATAACAGGCAAGTTTCCATTTATAAATGTGATCAGGTACCAGCAGAAACATGTTTATTTTATCAGAAGCATAGAACCGTCTCTGTATCAACAATCTATGTATTAACAACTATCTTCAGTAGCAAGTGTCCCTGTGGCATCTACTGTGAAGGGACTTTTTAATCTGTGCAGTCCATCTTTGTTCTGGCTTTCCTTTGGATAATCTCATTTAAAAAATACGGGGAAAAAAACTCACTTTCAGTCTTGCAGGTTACAAAAACTCGCCTTCTGGAAGAGGTTTAAATATAAATGTCTACGTAAGAGTTTGCTACCTTTCTCCATTTTTCTCGCCCCACCAGTTCATTTCTGATTTGGCTCATGTGAGCGATCTGCCCCAAATGCTTTCATTGCTTGAGAGGTGTCATGACGTCCATCCCGAGCCAACACTGATCAATAAGACCCCCCTCCTGTGGCCCATGGTTTGTCTCTAAATGTCTTCAGAGCCAGTAAGCAACAGACTGTCAAAATAATGATAATAATAAAAACCCTGTGTCAATACGCTATAAAATAATTGGCAGCGTTGATTAATTGATGCGTAAACATGACAATAACACGCTAACCTGCCCATCCCTGTGAATGTGTGAGGAAAAATGTTTCAGAGATCTCATCATCTCTGTCATTGTGAAAGTTATGGCTGGTTTCATGATAGCCAGCGTTTTAAGTGTGAAACAGGGGCGTCGTTTGGCGGATTATAGGGGGCCTGAATCTATGAACTGTCTGAAAGAATGGATATACACGGTCCAAACAACCCCCCCACAAACAGCTACCCGCGCAGACATAGCAGTCCCAATGGGGCTGAGAATCGTGGAAACGCTCCCGGCATGAAATGTTTGAATAATGGATCCAATCAAAACATAGTTGAATAAATGAGACCTGGGTCTATCTGCTCTTAATTAATACTCGTCTTACTGGTAATTCTCAATCAGGAAATGCTGTTGTGATTAAATGGTTTAAAAAAGAAATAATCCTCATATTACAAATAAGTTAATTAGTTTATAAATGTGTTCATGTGTTCTTATCTTATCCAGGGACCTTGTGCTGATATCCTAAATGAGCATACTGACAAAAGCAAAACAAAGAAATGGACAAAATAACTTGCGTCACAGCCTTGGTGAAACTTTCAAGGCTACAACAACAATGTTCACCGTCTCATCCAAATAGATCCCCTGCATGAGACCCTCTCGAGGACAGGTTCACTTCTACTCTTTATATCGCCTTTTGTGGATGTGCTCTGCAAACATTATGACAAAACAAAACAAAAATGGCAAAGCATCTTCTGAAAGACCTCTAAACCCGAAGGTTGTTTCATCGACTGGCATCAGCGTGAGGAACAAGTAAGGCTTTTTACATCATTCGAGCTTTTACATTCACAATGTCTTATTAGATAGGGTTCAGCAGGGACACTCTAAAGACAGGCCTACGTTTTGCAGGGATACAGAATATACTAGTGCATTACTGTAAGTGCAAGCTCACACAAGCAGCACTAACCAGGGTTCTGAGTTCTTAAAGTCTAATGTAGTCACGTAATTCACCGTAGAATGTCGGACGATGGCTAACTTGTCAGAGGAGAAAAAAACAATCAATCAATCATGCTTGCATTAAGGGAATCTACCGCTAAATAACATTTTATCTTAAAATACTGACAGAAAATAACAAACAGGTTGGCCGTGTAATGAAAGGACGGCAAACAGAGGTGGATGGGACGGACGTTCTGTCTGGATGGAACTAATGCTTTAAAAATGACCATCACTGCTTCCACTTTGTGCAGCTCTGATTCATATGGCTTTGATTATCTTTCAATGGGAGCTCACCAATAAGTGATGGGTCCTCAGTCATGCCTCACTTCCGCAACTGTAGGAGTTCTAAAGGCTCTAACTAATAGGAATCGTGATTCATTCAGGAAAGAGGAGCAAAATAGACGGTTGTTTTTCTACAGCTGCCCTTTTTAACCACTGTACCATGTTAGACTATTACCTTCCTTTGCAAATTACATTCAGTGAAGCTGAACCCAAAATACATCCATTAATGACGACAACATGTGCATACTAAAGCTCTTTATCTTCCCCTCGCAGCATGGGACAATAGATTACATACTCATGAAGCATATTCAATTGCAAATTGATGTCCATGTAAAGCACATAGACAAAGGAACAGAAACAGAGCAACTACAAAGTTAAGGCAGGGGAAGACTGCTGCAGCGTTTCATAAGTGAGGGAGGAGGCAGTGCAGATAAGATCTGTAGTGAAAGGGGATGGGCGGAGAGGGAGCGAAGCCTTGGCTGCAAGGAAGGTGTTGCATAAGTAGCTGTGGTGAGGAAGCCATGTTTGACTTGATCATGTTGTTATATTTATGTAAAATGTCAGTATTATTTTGGACCCCAAACATTTTAAAGCTTCTCTTTAAACTCTGCCTCTTCCTCAGACAACATTTTCATCTGTTTCAGGCTTTTTGCTTTGCTAACCCTCACGGAAGCAGCCCCTTTAAGCCAATAATTTATTCTTAACTTATTAAGTATTAACTTACTTGATTAAGTAAACTTAATGTTCTTTGTCATCTGTCCTTTACGGTCAGAACCACACACACACACACACACACACACAAATACACACCGGACAAAATGAAACGATTCACCGTCGGAAGAGACAATTCCCTTCTGTGTCATTATGTCGTCAATAAATCCATGTGAGACTGAGCAACACAGGCTGCAATAGGAAGATGAATATAAGTATAGACATCCTTCCCCTCAGGTTAAATTGTAATAACTTTACACAAAGGAATCTCCAGCGTCACCAACTGTGAGGCTGATGCCTCCGATGACAAAGTGCACATACGCAGAGACTTTCTGTAAAACAGTCACTATCACAAATCCTTCAACACCATCTTCGTCATTCACTTGTCTCTATTTTCATTATGACGTCAGTCCTAGAAAGTGTAAAGCAACTGACAAGATATGCTGACAAACAGTTGGAGGTTTAAATTCAGTTTTACAACTTCAATTGGGTTTTTGGATTCTCTTGCCCGTCTCGCTGCAGGCAAACATCTGACAGCTGGGCAAATCCATGACTGGGACGTGAGTTCTACTTTCTGATTTTGCATTTCTACAGTGAGAAACTTGTGTCAACGTGTGGCCATGAATGGAGGGTAGTTTAAAATCTTCCTTTGTTGGATTTGATGACGAATCCTTGATTTTTCTGAAAACATTTGTAATAATAACAAAGACGTTTGTTTCCATTAATAATAATGTAATAATAATAATTTATTTATATAGCACCTTACATGCATATAAATTATACAAAATCTTTATAAGTGAAAAGACAAAGAGGGGTCAGATGTATGAGGTAAAAACACAGTTAGATTTTCACTGAATTCATTGTATGAATCACTGGAAAGGAAGTCGTTCCATGCAAAGGATTCAACACTAGCGGGACGATCACCTCTGTTGGTTCATTCAGACAGCAGATTTTGATCTTCTAAATCAAGAACTATGGACACGGCCGCGGCGAATCGATCAGACTGTCCCGAGGTGAGGGTCCCCGTCCCTCTCTTCTTCACCATTGGTGTGGTGAGCCTGGCCGAGAACCTGCTGGTGGTGGTGGCCGTCATACGGAACAGGAACCTCCACTCGCCCATGTACTGCTTCATCTGCAGCCTGGCGGCCTTCAACACCATCGCCAGCCTCACCAAGACCTGGGAGAACCTGATGATCGTGTTTGCCAACATAGGACTCCTGGAGAAGAAAGGTCCATCTGAGACGAACGTGGACGACGTGTTGGACTCCCTGCTGTGTATGTCGTTTGTGGGCTCCATTGTCAGTTTCCTGGCTATTGCAGCGGACCGGTACGTTGGCAGTACAGACATGATTTAAATGAATATTTGGAGTGTTTTTTAAGCTATTGCCGTGCCGTTAAAGGAAGGATTGGATTTAAATCTGATGGGGTGAATGTTTTCCCCTCTAGCAGAGTAATCCACCAGAGTCCCAGTATCAGACGAATCTCGAAGCTATTTGCTTCCATTTAAAATAAATGGAATAAATGTGAAGGAGGCTGAACCAGGGTGGGTTTACTGAAGGCTTTAAAAGAAAGTTAAAGTATTTATTTGATCTGTTCACTGCTGAGTTGGCTGTTTTGAACTGTCTCTGGTATGTGGACCCTGTCACCAATTATTCTCTGCTCTTTAAATTCAAAGTCTCAACTACGACTCTGAAAATTTTTGAAACGTCTGAGCTTTTTTCTGGGCTCATAGATCCACAGCTCATTAAAAACCCACTGCTCTTCCTATTACTGCTACGGTTACACTTTTTCACACCACGATTCAGCCCAGTTCAGCATAGTATCACATCGTGAAGTTACATTTATTTTAGATAAAAATTCTGCCAACTTACATTTGTAGCTCACATTACATTACATGTCATTTAGCTGACGCTTTTATCCAAAGTGCATTTACCAAATATGACATTGCTGTGATGCTCACAGTGATACGGTATTAGTTATGAATAAAAATTCAACAATTCTAAAAAAATATGTTGTAGTAATTTAATTAATTTTTCTGTTTCCTACAGTTATTATTGCTTACCAAACACAACAAAGACACTTTTGTTGTGGTATTTGTTAAAAATGTTTGTGGGTACATTGCTGTTCAATGGGACTAATGACCGGGGGGGAAACGACGGCATCGCCGGGTTTCCCAAATAAAGAGTTACAATCGAGAGCAGTTTGTTCTCTCACTGTATTCAAAAACATGACAGTAGTTGTTACAAATAACTTTGGTTCTGTCAACTCGCCGTGTGGAATGTATTTCAAATGAAAATGTCCACAAAAGAGTTTGCCACCTTTCTCCATTTCTCTGTTTCGGTTCATACAAGCAGTTTAATGCCGTCAAGGGTTTGGTACCTTTTGTACGACCTGCAGGCCTGGATGTGTAGCTCCATACAGCTGAGGGGAATTGCAGAGTCAGGTGATCTCCGTGGGTTTTATTCATTGATTACCTGAGCAAGTTCAAGTGCAACTGAAATTAAAATTATTATATATATTTTAACTATTGATTTCCATTTAATTATATTTTTGTAGTTTCTACCTGCCGCCCCATAGTTTATCATGAATTCAATCGAACACCGCTCAGTTATCCGTGTAGATGGAGACCCTATTTTGATACAGCAAATCAAATCTTGCATCACGTGTTAAATCAGAGCTTAGCTGGCTTTCATAAAAATGCTCACATGACAGAAACGTTTTCTTTTCCACCTCCAGTTACATCAGCATCTTCCACGCGCTTCGCTACCACAACATCATGACGATGCGGCGCACAAGGGCCGTCTTGGGAGTCATCTGGACGCTATGCGGCGTGTCCGCCGTGCTTATGGTGAGGTTCTTCGACTCCAACTTCATCATGATCTGCTTCGTCGTCTTCTTCGTCGTCTCCCTGGCGATCATCTGCTTCCTTTACGTATACATGTTCATGCTGGCGCGCATCCACGCGAGGAAGATCGCGGCTCTGCCCGCCAGCAATGGTGGCCGGCGGCGGCGGCGGCGGTGGGGCAGCGGCATGAGAGGGGCCTTGACACTCACCATTCTGTTTGGGGCGTTCGTAGTGTGTTGGGCGCCATTTTTTCTTCATCTCATCATCATCATGTTGTGCCCAACGAACCCGTATTGTGAGTGTTATCGCTCGCTGTTCCAGCTGCACGTGGTGCTGCTGATGAGCCACGCCTTCATCGACCCGGCCATCTACGCCTTCCGCAGCGTCGAGCTCAGACACACCTTCAGGAAGATGCTGCTGTGTTCAGACTGGAAGAGATGCTCATAGAGAGGATCTGTTGATTTAAAGGGTTGCCCTTTACTTAGATACTGCGGCGTATTGCATATATTAACACCTGGGGACAAAAAATACAAACATCCAACGTACAGGTTTTCTACAGCAAAACCACTTGGCATTTGGAGGTAAATCAAGCTTCCTGAAACCCGAGGATTTAGTGTCCCTGGAGCTGGAATGTAATTTGTATTTGTTTTCATTCACCTGGGTTATGGATAGAACGGATTCATCTGAAAGAAATATGACGTCATGTGAGGGCTGGGGGAAAGCAAAGGAGTCGGGGTTTGGAAGTTAATGCAAGGTGGTCTGCTGAACATCACGATCAAAAAGCGTCGCCAGAACTGTGCACCTCTGACCTGCCTTCGTTTATCGGCCTTGCTAGCTGTGTAACTATCGATCCCTCGCTCCATCCGTCCGTCTCAGGACCTGGATGCGATCCTCTTATTTACTTCCCCTCGTGCCAAAATGATCCTTCTGCACCACATTCACGAGGCAACATTTCCCAGAGCACCTTGAACTCAAAGGACATTATTTAGCAACAGGGAGCATTTGTAACCTTTTGAATTCTATTATTCAGAGGACCACATTTGACCTCAGCTCCTGGTGCAAACATGAATAGAAAAACAGTTCGGCGCTTTCTCTTTCATCTCTTTGCTTTTATTGCAGGCTCACATAAATACAAAATAAACCCTTTGAAACAACGTGACCCACACTGCATCACCGTTTCAATTAAAGTTCACATTTATATTTGTGCATGCAACGACTTTACCATTAACCTGGAATATGTCAACACAACTATTAAGACGCTCTCGCTGTGTATTAACATGCAGTCAGCATGTCGGCTTCACGCCTGTCCCGTGTCACACTCACTTTCAATGTTTTTGCTTCTTTTTCACTGAAATGAGAACTGTTGATATCTCATGTTGATGGTGGATAAACAGCGAGTAAAATGAAAAACATGTTTTTTCTCAAATAAAACACTTGAAGGGAAAAGAATATCATTGTGTTTTAATGAAAGCACATATATGCTCTTGTTTTAATCTCACAGTTACAAACAGCATGTGTGGAAGTGACGTTAAGGCAATTACAACACAACACATCCTTTAACACTGTTTTCTCTTGCTGTCTATATGCATTAAACAATTGCCATTGATCAGTCTCGTGATGCAAATAGCAAATAACATTAAGAAATGATGCAGAACAGCAAATTCAGGCAGACGGATGTGTACGGTGATAAAGATCTTTTAAACTTGTCATTTGGCAGGTAGGCACCACTGACATTACACTTACAGAGAGCACTGCAAAGCTGAATGTACATTCATTATTACAATCTAAGTGTAAACGTCTGACTTTACATTCAGACCAGGGATGCAGTAACAATCAAACATTGGCAGAACAGAGCAGTTATAATTAATATGAAAATACAGACAGATACAGGCACATTCCAACCATAGCGGGATCAGCTTTTTCACTGAGCATTGGCACTAACTATTGCACTAATGCAGCGGCAGGGAGGACGGGAGGGGCGTGGGGGGGGAACTGGATGTTGTCCGGCAATGCCATCCAAAAGTTCAGCAGCAGCCGGCATTTATTCATAGATAACAAAAATGCAGTGCCACGGTATTCGGAGAAGTCTATGGAATCATCACATAACAAAAGATGTATTGATCTAATTGATTCTATAAATAAAATGTTTCTGTTGTTTTCTGTCAATGGTTTACACATTCAAAGGGTTTGGTGTTGGAAAGTCTCTGGGGAGAAAATCCACCATCTAGGGTTCTATTTGCCTGATACCCGAGCAGGGGGGTTTGACACCTGTGCCCCAGAGCGTGAGATTGAAATGACAATTTGATCAACCCTCATATTTGGATTTGTAGACGGGCAGAATTTTCTCAACGTCCGTTTTTTCTAGTTATTCTCAACAGGTGCGTCCCACCTTTTCCAGGCGACACATTGTCGGTCCGGCCCCGCCGCCTGGTGGAGCGCTGGGAAGACGATCAAACAATCTCGAGGAACTAAAAGCCATAACAAGGTTTCCCTATGTGAATACATTTTGGTTTATTTTTGTATTATTTGGATCATTTCCCTTAATTTGTGTCGCGGCTGGTTATTAAGGGAATAGTACGTCCTGCAGTGAGACCAGTTGAGAACCACTGGTCTAGAAGACCTAAGACTTGAATTTTCAACTTCTCATTTTATGACTAACTTGCTAAAAATGTCCTGGATATTTCTGTCTTTCACAATTGATCAAGAGCCGGCTATGTGCACCATTTTCCAGTGAGCCAACAATACACGGCCTAATTCTACACTCCTTCTACATGCAAGATGCTGTGCGTTTTGTTCAGGTTGCGTGGAGTTGGAAAGGCTACGAGATTCTGCGTTGTTGAACTGAGGCTGCATAAAAACATCTAAAGGCAACGATTACTTTGAAAAGCTTTGGACACGCGAGGATTGAGCTACAGCTCGATGAACAGAGGCCGAGAAAAACATCGCTGAACATGGGCGAGGAAAATCAAAAGAAGAAATCGGTAGATTTGGTAAACTGGAGACTTTCAGGGGCATAATGGGCGCAGATAATTGGCAAATCAAGGTTATTATCTGGAGATTATTTTGATCCAAACTTGCAGTACCATCTGTTCTCTCCAAAAGTGCTGCTGCCAATGTGGCTGTAACATAATGGGTCAGACGATATAAAAAAAGGAAGGAATTCAGCTTTAATGCCGGACGCATGGATGCATGGAAAATCTTGTATCCCAGGAAAATGTTCCCAAGCTCTTTTATGAACATTATTTATTTATTTATTTATTGCTTAGAGACTTAGAACACGCCCAGTATGAGACTGTGCAGAACACAGATGTGCCAACCGGACAGAACGCACATGGAGCAGCTCGCTCGCACTGCAAAATGTAGCGCAATCACATTCAAGGCGGTATTTCAAATCAAGGACAACATTGGTTTAAAGATTACAAAAACTATCCTTCCTTGCCCTTCTCAGGTTAATGGTTGGGATATTGACACTTAACACTTTTTAAATGATTGTTGTTCATGAAGTGACATCCGCCGTGACATCTCATAGTGAACATAATTACAACAATGTAATTCTTAATGCTTGGGACAGTAAAATGATGTTTGTATGAAAGTTTTATTTTTAAATCTCTAGTACACTGTGACCTTGTTGTAATGAGCTCCTCTTACTCTCTTTTATTCAACGCAGGTTTATCTCTGTTTAATGCAGACGACACTTCTCAGAATTCTCTTCGGCGACAGCGTTTTCTTTTATTTCGCGTGATCTGTCTGCATTTGAAGTCACAGCTGACACTGACTCGTGGGAAATCATGTGAGGCAACTTTCTATTTGATTCCTCTGAGAACTTTCCCCATTTGTTGCTGTCTTTTTTCCCCCGGGCCTGTGCTGCGCATGGCTAACAAGTATACTAATGGGGAACCTCCGTCTTGTATTTGTTTAAAGCCAAGTGACCAAGGCGACCTCCTCCCCAAGAGGACACTTTTGCTCCTCATACAAAGTCCTTTGCTCTGACGGCTTTGTAATGACGCAGAAAGGTTTACGTTGGAGGGGGGACGGGACACCCGAAGAAGTATCGGTCTTCCGACAGCGACCAAGCGGCAGTATTTGAGGCCATCGTGCACATGCACAGTAGTTGGTAGCAAATAACAGCATTTAGGATTTACCAAAGATGACAACAAGGAAATTATCTCATCAATAAGTGGTGATTTAAAAGAAGATTAGGTCAAGTTAGAACAATCAAGCAAATTGCCGCTAAAACAACAAGATAACAAATTTTTATCTAGAACAAAAACGGTTTTCTGCAAAACACAATCCAGTTGTCACGTTTTTTTTATTCCAATTAATGGAACAAAAAAACTGATGCTTTGTGCACATTGCGTCAACAAGAGAAGACTGTAAGTTAACCTCCCTACAATCAGTGGGAGTCTCCTTTCTTCTTATTGGACAAAAGATATATATATATAAATATGTTTGACCTTACAGTGTAGTAGCTGGAAAGGGTTATTCTGCTACAGTCGGTTCGGTTCGTCAAACATCGGCCGTCCGAGTCGGCCTCCCTCTCAGTACTTACCCGTCAGAGCGCAGATGTTGGTGCAAGCATTTCTCAGGCTGTAACAACAGATGATCTCTTTAAAAGTCTTCCTCATCTCCTGACTCCTGAACGCATATATCAGTGGGTCAATCACCGAGTTGCACATGATGAGGATGAGGTACATGTTGAAGTGGGACATGAAGCACACGCAGTAGAGGTTCCGCGGGCACGAGATCATCAGAATCAAGTGGAGAAAGAAGGGAGCCCAGCAGACAATGAAGATCCCCAGCAGGATGGTGAGGGTGATGGCCCCCTTCATGCTGGTCCGCTGGTGGATGGAGTTGTAGCCGGGCAGGGCGGCGATACGCTTGACATGGGAGCGCGCCAGCATGAACATGTGGCTGTATAATGAGGCCATGATAACCAGCATGGCGAAGAACATGGAGACAAGGCAAATGATGACCGGGGTGGTGTCTGAGTAGATGATGAAGATGATCCCGCAGCCCGTGCAGAAGGTCCAGATTCCCCCGATGATGCAGCCAGCTCTCCTAACTGTCATGATGTTGTGGTACCTCAGTGCATAGAAGATAGTGACGTACCTGTAGAGGTAGAGTCAAAAAGAAGTGTTGAATGAAGATGATTAAGTTGATTTAAGCTCCTTTGAGTTTTATTTGCATGTGTTTGCTGTTGCACACCAAATAAATATCCCCATGCATCAAATGCAAGATTGTTGTCTCATGGAACACTACGTACGTAAATATACAGTACGCACAATTTGAGACCTCTGGTCTTGATATTGACTTGGTCTCAAACTCTCCAAGTTTTTGGGATACACCCTAGTCTCTGTTACGACTCAATGCTGCTTATTTATTCATACAACGCCGCCTTCCTCCATCATTACCTGTCCACCGCGATGGCCAGCAGGCTACACATGGATGCCACGACAGAGATGCAGATCATGGAGTCAAACACATTGTCCATTTGCCTGATGAAGTGATCCTCCACCACCAGCTGTCTGTTGTTGAGGAGGTAAATGACGATGGTCTCCCAGGCGTTGGACACACTCACCAGCATGTCTGCTACTGCCAGACTGGAACAACCAAAAGAGATTGGTCAGGCTCAGGACAGTGCACATGAATGCGTAGACATTCATATGCACTGTCCCTGCCCCCCCTGCAAGACAACACATTTGTGTCCCAGCGAAAACCAACAACTTGAAAATGCATGAATGATGAGATGGAAATGCATTTTTAAGCACTTCTGAAATTGCATAATTGTGTTATCAATTGCACTTGAATCCCAAATACATTGCACAGCAGAACCACTGACCTTACAATTCGGCACAAGGTTTATGGACATTAATCTATCCCCTCTAACACTACAAAATTACAATTCAGCAGAATACACTGAGGAAACATCCCTTGTCTCTGGATAAGCTGCAGAGGTCAAATGACGATAGCAGGAAGACCTGCCAGGAGAGAGTTACGGTAGTGAAGGCACGAACTTCTGTGTGAATAATGCATCTCAACCTCAGCCTGGCTCTTCTTTGCTTCTCGTTGCCCCCAGCGGCCTGTTTCTAACCGTTGAGTGGAGAGTCGTCCTCGTACTCTGCTGGTCTGTAGCTTCGTTGTCCCTAATGTCTGCTCTGTCTTTGAGGCTCACTGTGGCAGAGGGTGCCAGCAAAAGCACGTTTTTATGATGTTCTCTGTCACTCTTTGCAGGGATACAATCTAGTTGCCTCAGAGAAATCATTAAAAAACGACATGATTGGAAGCATTATCTAATGTTGACCAACTCCACAGGGAACTCAATGTCTGCTTTGTCCCAGAACCCGCAGCTGGCGTGTCAGCTGAGTCTCTTTGCGTTGGTTTTGAGTAGGGGATTTAACGCTTTACATCATAAGGCTCTCATCCACATAAAGTCACAATTCGCACCAGCGTCTTATGCGTTCCCAATGAAAAGGGTATTTACTCTTCCAAACATTTTCAAGACAGAGCCCCGCGTCCACTTTGTAGACACTCAGCTCATTTGTAGATTTCACTCATAATGTACAAGAAGCTACCAGTAGATAATATTTCATATTCAAATTGAACTTTTCAGCAAAGTTACAAAAATCTTATATAAAACTAATTAATAAGTCTGTATGAGCTCAGCAGGGTACATGAATGCAAAAAGTCTCAAAAAGGCCTGAGGCATGTACTTATATTCCTTCACTTTCAATTTGGGATTAATGACAGTTTCAGAAATTAATGTCTTTCCTCTGGCAACACAAATTTATATTTTTAAGTGAAACAAAGAGGCAGAGAGAATTCATGAGAAATCAGTTTCTTTAAGACTCAGCATGGAGAGTTGACTATTCAATTGTTTTGAGTCAATAAGTTTACCTGCAGACGAAGAAGTACATGGGTGAGTGGAGGTTCTTGTTCTTCACTATAGCAGTGATGACCAGGATGTTCTCCAGCAGCGAGATGATACCCAGGATCAGAAAGACCTGAGGAGAGCAGAACACTGTGTGAGAGAGAAGAATTGGAGGAGTGAAGATACAAAGATTGGCAGGGTGGCCGGAAATGGAGCAGGTTTCCCCCAAACTAACTCTGAGGGACGGCGCGATGGTTAACTCAACGGAACAGAGGGTCACAGGTAAAAAAAAAGACAAGAAATACAAGAAGAACTTCTCCCTGGGGAACAAAGAAAACACGCAAAATAACAGACAAACCGACAATGAGACAAAAGACACACATGGCTTAAACACAAGGTGAGGCTGTTTTCTCTCAATTATTGCCAGAAATCTCCATATCCTCATAAATTATTCATAGCCCGATTTATACCATTTTATTTGAAAAACATGGACAAATTTATCATAAAGTTTATTATTTTTTATGCCTGTTGACAATATTTTCTTATTCATTGAGTGAATCAAAAATATATCCAACATATCTTCTTTTCTAACCTTTGACTAAAGTAAAAAAAGAAAACAATGTCTTTATTCATATGTTCAGATTTTGATTCTGTAAAAGTATGTAAATTAGCACATACAACATAACAGAATACCCCATCTGTAATTTCAACAAAGTTTAGAAAATCCTGATACAAAAATAGTTGCATTTCATGTTTTCATATTTCAATTTTCATGGTAATCGTTATGAGTGTTTCACCTTTAACAAAACAAAAACATTTCCACGTTCAGCACCGTGTGTGTTAATACCTCGATGGCGATGTGGACCTGCTCGCACGCTGCAGGTTTGGAAGTGCCCGTCTTGTCCGGATGAAGTGGGGGCACCGGCGTGTAGTTCTGGTGGTGGTAGGAGTAAGCCAAGGTGAAGTTGCCCAGCAGCAACTCCTCTCGGTAGGAGGACTCATCAGACAGATTCATCCCTGCGGTGGCTGCGTCCAGATCACTGCTGTTCTATTGTGGACGGCATCTCTCACGCAGGCTGCAAAGAAAAATGTGATAAGATTCAGCAGTGTCTTATATCTGGTGGCAAAAATAGGTCAGATTGTATAGAAGTCTATGAGAAAATGACCCTACTTCTCACCTGGTGTATTACATCAGACAACATTGTGAACATGACTTCATGGTGTGAACTCACACACACAAGGGAGCCGGGACCGATGAGTCAGGGCAAAAATCTCACAAAGCGGCAATGTGAACCGTCGCTATGAGACAAAGCACAACTCTTTCGAACAATCTGAAATGAAGTAAACTCAAGTGCCCAATAATATTAAATGACATGTCATTTAGATGACGCTTTTATCTAAAGCGACTTAATGTTACATTGCTTTTTTAACACATGTCACACAGTGGGAGCAGTGTGCTGCCCGGGGAGCAGTTAGGGGCCGGGTGTCTTTCTCAGGGACACTTTGACATCGGACATGGAGCAACCAGGGTTCAAACCGCCAACCCTGCGGTTCCCGGCGCCAAGTGGTTTCAATAATCGGAGATAATTTCCATGCTCACACATTTCTCTAAATAGAGATTTAAAGAAGTTGTGTTTTTATCCAAGGCACGCGATCGACTGAACGTTCTGTCTCAAGTAGGGTTGCCACCCGTCCCTTAAAATACATAATTGTCCCGTGTTTGAGAATGAAATAGCAACGAAGGGCGTAAGATTGGCTGTTTAAAACCTACCCTCTTTGCTTCCGCCTCCCTAGTGTGTATACACATCTCACTAGTGCGTATACACATCTAACTAGTGCGTATACACATCTCCCTAGTGCGTATACACATCTAACTAGTGCGTATACACATCTCACTAGTGTGTATACACATCTAACTAGTGCGTATACACATCTAACTAGTGCGTATACACATCTCACTAGTGTGTATACACATCTAACTAGTGCATATACACATCTCACTAGTGCGTATACACATCTCCCTAGTGCGTATACACATCTAACTAGTGCGTATACACATCTCACTAGTGTGTATACACATCTCACTACACACTAGTGAGATTACTCGTATGAATACACAGTGCGCGCGAGAGTGTCTCAACAGTTAAGTCCTAAACGGCCTCTCATACATAACAGTTTATTAAAGTTCTTGGTTGTGAAACACTGCTGACGAGATGTGGTAAGATAAGCAGTGAACTTCAAGCACTTACTGACCCTTTGTGAGACTCAATTACTCACCCTTGTTGCTTTGAATTCTTAAAAATGAACAGTTTTGGTTTATTAAGAAGTGCGCATGTGACTGATAGATGAGATTTTAATTACACGGCATGAGTTGTGTGACTCTTTTTTAAACGGCTTTTTTCAAAACATATTTGCAGTTTGTTAAATGCGACCAACTTTTTACTTTTTTGTAAAGACTTTTTCTCTGTTCACTGTGGTCGGAAGGGCAACACGGGGCAAGTAATTTAAGAAATTAACCGTAATGTTTGGGGGAACCATTCACTTAACTACTAAAGTTGTTTATACGTTTGCACAAGGGGTTAAACAAACATATTTATGTAAAAAAAAAAAATCCAAGACAGGAGCTGCTGCTGAACGCTGATTAAAAAAATACATCAAGAGTGGAAAGAAAACACGAAACCATCCAAGTACAAGGTGAGCGATAAACGTTATTCTCCGTTATGCCCTTCATAATCCCTGTTCGGACTGCACTGTTTCATGTGAGCAAAATACAATTATCCAAATCCCATTACAGAGCGGCACAATGAGCTGTACATTAGTAACAGCCATTCACTTCATGGGCAAACGAAAGGCCCATCATGTTTGAGTGGTTAAGGAATGTCACTACTACTGTTTTGTTTGCACTTTCAACACATCTGCGAGAAATATGAATCGTCTCAGCACAGTTGGAGGTTTTCCCTTCACTAATTGAAGCAGAAGTTTGATGCTGTTTTAAAGATGAGAAGCCAATACTCAAACATTTATGTTGGAACTATTAACGATTGCTGATTCATTCAAGTCCCAGCGGCTGTAGCGATTATTTACATGTGGAGGCTTCAACTAACCACAACGTCAACTGCTGGTGATGACACCCAGCAAATAGCTCTTGACTGACCTGCCAGACTGACTGATAAATCACCAGTGTATTTTTTGCAGTGATGCACTGATGTTGTTTGAAGTAGTTCCTGTTAATTAGGTCAAAGTTACACGTGTGTTGCGTTTACTTGGTTGTTCTGAGTTGTCACTCAGTTTGATTTTGTTACCCATCATACTTTGTAAATATCTTGAGTGAAATAAAGTCCCTACTTCTCCCACTTCATGCGTACCCTGGTCCCTCACAGTGTATGAGCAGTTTCTCACATCCGTGTATTATATTTCAATTTTCAGTATCATATGATATGCTTCCTTCACATAAAGTCTGTCCTTTTGGAATGAATTGTTTGTCAAACTCTATCTATGAAATTGTTATATGTATAAGCATGCAAGATGCTTTACATCTATCAACTACCACACGTAACCTGAGACATCACAATATCAAAGACAACATGTAGGCTTTAGATGGAGGTAGGAATTTAAGATGTAACTCGACAAAGTGTCGTTAAATTGTTGCTTACATACTTTTTTGTTCTTTATTCCATGACTCCTTTAATAGGCGCCAATGAGTCTGATCTTATATTTATTTGAAGTATATGTTTTTACTTATCGTATAGCTATTTAAAAACAACCGTAGCCGAATCCGCATCGGGGAAATCGGTGCCTTTTGTGAGAGACTCGCCCACCCACTTCAGGAGTACAGGGTCCATCTACCTCCTCAACCCTCAGAAATGTTGTCCAGCAGATGACAACAAGAGAATGGGTGTTATTTTGGGCATGCAAACACCATGGCAACACGTCCATGGATAGAAGTTGGACAGCGATGTGTTTACGATGTGAATCGGGGCTCTAACAGCAGCTCCAGTTCTACGAGGGTGGAAAAGCATGCAATGCATTAGTTGCTGTTAACGACCCTGACATATATGAGTCACTAAACATGTGGAAACATTTAGAGAGGAGAAAATATGGGTATTTTAATGTAAAAAGAGAGATCGGACACATATTGGCACATAAGAACAGTTACATTTTATAGTAACATTTTCGAGAGCAACACTGCGGCAGGGCCTGTGCGTAATTTACAAATGTTTGCCCGGGGGCCGATGCTCCTATAATCCATTCATCCTGCGACGGATCAAATAGCAGCTGCAAGTTATGACAGCATGAAAGCATTTCTTTGAAATATTAACCAAAGAAAGCTACAAGGAAGACATACAGATTGTGGTTGTTTTGTTGTAAAACCATGAATACCCACCACTGTGTTGACTTGGGGGGCACTGCTGGATGTACGATATTGTACCGCGTAAAATGTTCCCTCAGTTACAATCAATGTTGCATACTTAAACACCCTGCACTCTTGTTAAACTGTCACAAATCAGAATGGAAGACTTTGATCACAAGAACCAAGAAAAGAAGGATCTTGGAACTGCTATACTGACGCACACTACATAAGAGATATATATATATATATATATATATATATATATATAACTCTGCTCTCAGCCCACGCATGCAGACTTTTTATTATGTGAATGAATAGGCTCACTTTAAAAAAAAGATCTGTTGCATTCATGAGCCTGAGTTTGTTTCAATGGGAATTCAAGTCCAAAAAGAAAAGTGAACAGAGGACTGTATCCCAGGTGAAGGTTTGTGTGTGATGTTCCCTGCATTATTCATTCAGTGATCAATTATGCAGAGCACAACACATGTTATTACACTAATCACATGGAAATATTAATCACACCAAAGCAACGACTTATGATCGTGGGCTGTTTTCACATCTGCCACAATACAGAATATGAAAGGAAACGAGGTAACTGCTGTACATTTACACAACAAACAGGCATTGTCAAATAATCAGTTAATAGGTATTAAACAAATAGGCCAACGGTATGATGTCCGCGTAGTGTGTCCTATTTTATTTATTATGAACCGTTCACAATAGGAATATTAAAAAGCCCATGAATGACAATGAGCAAATCATCGAGCCGCTGTGAGTGTGATTAGCTGTATTTAGGATTCGTCTCATGACCTCCCATTCTGCATGTAATACTAAGATTCAGCCCCAACTGACTAAACGTAACGATAGATTGCAAGAATAGAAATGGAATAGGATGAATTTATACTTTTACTTTAAAGACATAATGGTATAGAACAAAATAAAGTTTATACGTTTAGAGTTTATGCAATCACTCCATGAAATAGATTCAACACTTTGAATGTCCTAGTCTAGTTTTGCAAAATATGTCATTTATATTTCTAGGTTTTCTAATAATAGAAGCTGATCATTGGTCAGAAGCAACATTTTGTTGGAGTGTCTTTGTGGAGTCATTCTGTGTAACTAGTTAGATCTGAAAAGTGAAACCTGTGCATAAAATGACTTAAACCCTTTTTTTGAGATTCTTCAAAGAAAATCCAGTACCAACATGGACCTCACAGACTAAATACACTATTCACAGTGGATCCCAGCTGTGCACTTTATGCTCGACCACTTCACTTCACTCTAACAGGGTCATTTGCTACTAAACACAACACTCTGCCGCTCCCTGATATAAGAAGAAGAAAATGTTCCTGCTGGTATCTTTTCAGTTCTGAATGTAAACTTGCCTTTTATAACTTCACGATGGTGGCTCTGGACTCTGAGGGTAACACGTTTTCTATTACAAACAATACAAAACATTAATGCCCTGGAAGTGAAAGAAAGCCAATGTTTCATATTTTGATTTGATTACATGAACGTTTGGAGATGTGTGGTGTTTAGCACTGTCGCCTTATATCCAGAAGGCCTTGGGCTCAAACCGGCCAGGCGGCCGGGGCCTTTCTGTGTGGAGTCTGCGTGGGTTCTCTCTCTGACCAGCATCCAAAAACATGTGCATGTTGGGTTAATTGGTGTCTCTACGTGGCTGGTAGGTGTGAGAATGGGGGAGTGAATGGTTTTCTTTATCAAAGCCCTGTGGTGGACTGTCTACCATTCCAGCCTCCCTGCGACCCTCTGATATACTGTAGAGAAGGTGACTGACTGACATGTAGAAATGTTTTAGCTGCAACTGTGTAAAACGAATCTCTAAAAGTGTTTGTAGACCAATGATTATTGCATATAATAAAAGTGTGCAATATACTACTTTTTTATTAATTATTGTATTTAGTGTATAACTGCAAATTGGGAAGTGTGACTTTGAACACCGCCTCTTGGAAAGGGGACCAAACACTGACCTCAAAATGCAAGATGGCTGCTTTGCACATGAACAATAAAAATTCATGAATGATATGCTGTTTCTAAAGACTTGTCTTGTTTGAATCTCATTAAATCAGACATAGACCCATTACTTTCCAACCAACACCTGTGGAAATGTTGCTGTGTTTACTGGCATATCGCGTTGTTATCAACAGGTATCGTTAGCATGGCTGACAACGTTCAGGACATGATTAACTTTTTTTCTAAATGTGACATAATTTCATCAAAACAACTGATAATGTCTTTAAAGTACAATAAGTCACTCATAATTAATTTTAGTTGTTTAACTATAAGTAGTTGATATTGGCATCCTTTGATTTGAAAACTGTACATTTTGTCAGTCACGGGGCATCGTACGCCAGATCTATAAAAGCCTAAATAATTCCATTCTGCACTTTGTAGTCGGCAGTCCAGCTGAATCCCTTTTGTCTGTCAGTATTCTGAAAGCTTACAGTGAAGCGGAGCGTCCGGCTCAGCCTCATATCACTCTGATGTGCGTGGGCACCTCGAAGCAGATCCAACATCTATTGAGCCTCAATCTCATGACGTGACTGTATCCAAAGGCAATGACACGGACGATGGCAAAACAACCATCATTAAAGTTAAGGAACAGCATCATTTTTTTCATATCTGTAGGCTAGTTGTCCTTGTCCTGAAAAGGACAAATATTAATCTTTAATTTGAAGAACCACATTGATTGTAAGGAATAATACCATTACTGCGAACAAGTCTCCACTAATCACCACTCAAGGCATCATTGAGCGTTTCTTAATTTGTAGTCGAAGGCTGATTATTTGTACATTGAACAATTTTAATGAAACGTGAAACAACAACAAAATATGACAAAAATATGCCGAGAATAGATTCAGTGGGACTTAAGAGAGCACAAATGGAAATACACATGTAATCTTCCTCATGACATCATCATCTATGGTATTTTCTGATATTAACTGATGACCAGATAGTGATGTGTGTTGTTGGCTGACTGATGGACTAAACTACCTTATTTATCCAATAATATTCTGTTCAAATCCTGCTGAGTCCCGTGAGTCACTGTTTACATGAGCTTTAATAAATTGGCTCGCCACACAGGAAGGGAGACAAGCGTACATATTTACTTGTCACAACAAACACCAAATGAACCAGCTGAAATGAGGCATCTTTTTTTTCTTCCAGCAGGGGATGTTCGTCAGAAACCAAATTCAGGTCAGCGGCTACAAAGGCAGCTACTTGTCTCACACCGAGTGATGCTCACTGCTGCTGCTTTGCCACTCTGGTGACTAATCTGTGAGAAAATGGTATGATATTTTCCTAAGATCATTATCACGGTCACAATCTGACTGATGAGTGTTTCCTGTACAATTGAAGTGGCACATGTAAGATTTTCTTATTTGCAATAAATTAGGGTCTCCCACTTTTCACTGTGTTTCTTATTTTCTCCGTTTCTCTGCAACACGTGAGAGGGTGTGACAACGCATGCTGCACAGTCCATTACAGAGGAAACGTCATTCACAGCTGTGTTGTACCCCGTGTAAACTATCGTCTTTTGGTCCTTAAGATGAAGTGGGGATTCATGCGTTCAAAATAAAATTCATACAAATATAGTTGATTGATGAAGCTAATATCGATCTAAATATCACAAAAACCTTGAAAAAAATCACCCACATCATATTCAGCCACATAACTAATTTACTTACGGTAAATTGTGATGATGTCACTATAAACTCGACACACTTCTAGTCAGTCTAGTCAGACAGATGTTCTCTAAAATAACACTTTGAGGACAAAATGAATAAAATGAATGTTTAAATGCAAAGAGACGGTGACATGTCGAGATGAAATCCGTCATGGGAGGGCAGACAGAGATAACGAATGACTCACCTCTCGCAGCAGCTGTGACTGAAAGCTTTCCCACAACTGGCTCAGACGAACTGGAGGCACCTCGGTGGAGCATTGGACCAGAGGGTCTGAGCTGAGTGGAGATAAGATGAGAGAGCGAGAGGGAGGGAGGGATGGAAGGAAGGAGGGAACTGACTGTGGCATCACTGTGCAGCTACTGAGAGCAATTTTTCGCCGTCTCCCTCACAGCGGGTGAAAGGAAGCAGCAGGCAAAAAGCGCAGAGCTTCCCCCATGTTGGAAACGAGCTCCATCTTACAAATAATTTAGCTGGACTTCCAGTTGGGCAGATTCAGAACCTGCATTACAGCGAGAAACAGAAAGAGCAGCACGAGGATGAGCTAATAATTTGATTATTTTGTTATTTTATTGTTTGTTGGGTTAAACATGAAATTATTTCATACCAATACATTTTCTTAAGTGGAAAGACGAGCTGTTATTGCTGAGTGTTTACACACACATATCCTGCAGTAAGAAACCAAAAAGGCTGCTGTGTGACCTTTGAAATGACTGATTTGGACAATAGTCAATTAGCAAAAACTGCTAATTACATCTCACACAGTACAATAATGAGACTTTTAGATAAAAGATCTTCACTTCAAGGTTATTAAAATACTCTTGTTCATTGAATGTTTATTTTGTAACCAGGTGTACTTCTCCTCACTAACATGGATGGAACACACTGTATGAATGAGGATTTGCCCCAGCACAGCTCTCCACTCATACGGCACTAAAAGAGGCTACAATGGCAACAGTGCAGACAGAGCTGCACGTTATAAATAGAAACTATCTTATGAGTTGTGTGAGTGTTCGTATTGTAATTTAACCTCCCAGCATTCTATGAAGCAACTTCTTGTGGATGTGAGCTTCATTTCCTTCTGACATTTTTTACAATGTTAAACATTTTACAAGTCTCCACAATTTTATAGTTTTTTTTATAGTCATTGAGTCATTGACATTGAATTAGGGTTGACTATGAGTGGTACTGTGTGCACTATTAGGGACTTGCTCCCCACACTGAAATGAATACTAATCATTTTTGCATTATTATCAATGCTACTGCTATTACTACTATCATATGTATTATCCCTGTCATGAGGATGATGATTCTGTTGTAGTTGTTTTTGTTCCTTCAGTACATATGACATATATCATCCTGGGTGGGGGATCCTCTCTCAGTTGTCCTTACTGATGTATCTAAATGTATATTGTTATTTTTTTGAGTTTTAAAAAAAGAGAAATGATTCAAGATTCAAAGATTGTTATTGTCAAATCCCCCCCCCCCCCCCCCCCTGTGTATTGAAATTCTTATGCTTGCCTTTCTGGAAAGCCGATGTTTGAAGTACTGATTTTAAGCCCTCTGAAGGAAATTTGTGATTTGCTATAAAAATAAAATGTAATGTAACTGAAAATTCAGGATCATAATGAGCACTGATCCATGTTGATTCTACCAATAATCCACAAATAAGACACTAAACATCAAACTGCTCTCCAAGAACATAATATGTGAAAATACAAAACTGCCATCTTTATGTGTACATCTTTAGTTAAATGGTTACATTTCAAACAGAACCGGTTAAAGCTGAATGGAATTATGTTGGGAATATCAAGTGGAAGCTATTAGCTGAGTCAAGGTATAAAACAGGTTTCATACCTTGTGTGTGTTTTGCGTGCGTCTACCACTCACTGTCATTTATAAAACAAGGTGAGGTGCCCCCCTAATGCATGTTGTGGTTTTCTGTCCCAGCACTGAACCAACATTGCTATCGTGATTGTCTGGATTCCTAGAATCCGGTGTATGATCATCCAATTCAAACCCTGTGTGTCGCGTGTCTCGGCGTCAGGTTGTTAGTCTTTAGTCCCGTTGCCTCATCCTGTTCTCGCTTGCTCCGAGACATTTTGTATCCTTGCTTTAAATAAAGTTTTCATTGTTTTGAAACAAGATCTGCGCTTGAGTCCTCGTGTCTCCGGACACCCTTGATGTTTCGGATCCAAATACAGAACAGACCTGTTCACCTGCTGGATGGTGGAACAATGAAACCGCTGAACGTATAATCATTAGAAAACAAATACGCTGTACTGACACGGTTTGGCACTAAATGAAAGAGATGCTGTGTACAAAATAAATAGCTGTTTTCTCTGTTTTGCACAGTGACCTAATTACAAACAAAAAGGATAAACTAATGTCTCAAAGAAAACGGTCTGCATTGTGTTCTAAAAATCTTTTTAAACAGAAGCTTTTTATATCCTGCATGCAGCAAGAGAAGCTTTTAGCACAAAGAGGCAAGGATGTTAATTACAAGCCTTCACAAAAAACGTTCCATTACAGCCAGCTTTTATTGCGCACATTTATTTACGTGTGTTAACTGAAAGAAATGAGAGGTAATGCACGGCTGCACACGTTACAGCGGGATGAACATTGCCCTTTGTCTTTGGATTCAAGGCAACTCTGACACACACAGACCTTTAAAAAGCATCGATGCACAGCGTGGGGTGCACGTATAGCCCAGTTGTATAGGTATATATATATATATGTATATATATATATATATATATATATATAGGCTATACGTATAACCTTTATGTATAGGACACTTTATTGATTTTACGTGGACGTGATTTCCCTCAAGAAAAAGGCCCCTGAAGATACACAAATGTCATTCTTATCCAGAAAAAAATCAAGACAATTATTTTACCCGAGACTTAACTGATGCCATTCTTCAGCATGACAAAGAATAACATCGACTTTTGTAAAAGAAAAAAGCGCGTGTGGCTTAAGTGCTTTAATCAATTGAGTGTGTGTCTTCATAATTGCATCATCTTTACACCTGAATCCCTCAGTTGTGTTCACTGATTCAACGTTGTGTATTGGATCTCCTATTTGGCTGAGCTCTACTGAGCTTACACGTACTTTGGATTTTACTACACTAAACATATTTCTTTCAAAAAGATAAAAAATACATTTGGCAGGACGTCGATGACCTTCAGTGTCTTTAGGAAGGTCTTTTGAATAACAGCATTATGGTGTATTGGGAGGGGTAAAGCGAGGCCCCCAAACACTGCTTCTCATTGATCACATCAGCACATATTGTCAGGCCTTGTGAATGTCCGTGGGGGGTCGTGCTTTGAGAACCCTTCGGTGACGTAACGCGGCAGAATTAGGTTTATGAAGTCAATACAGGTGTGTGTTTCAACAGTACAACATACACAGTTCACCAACATTTAAGATACATTTCAATGATTTTCACAGGAGGAACGCGTTACTCATGTTTGAGCGTCCCGACTCTTATTAGTTCAGGGAGAGACGATTGAGATTCTGCAGCCAAACCTCCCACTAATCTGTTTATCTATTTTTAAACAACTAAGGACCAAAGAAGCACTGCAGCAATTTAATTACCTAACAGTGAAGGAAACACTTCAAGTGTTTTTTCTTCTGGCTTTTCAGTTAGTGAGCAATCAAACCTAATTTATCTTGACATTTTGTATCACAGCAACAGCAATGTCAGCACAGCGGAATTGAAAGCTCAACCTTGCCTGTTGTTTACATCCCTTTTCCTCTACAATATTCTTCTCTTGCCTCACTTTTATTAATAGTAAGATAGATCAGTTGAGGCAAGGATGGCTTTCATCACGTTTGCAGGAAATAGAAGTTTCAGAAGATTCTTAACTTACTAACTAACTGGATTTTTATTTTGGTAGGGCCAGCCAGCCAGCCAATAAAATAATAAACTTTTATTCCAACAGTTTAACATAATAATAATAATAATCTAAACAATTCAGTATATCAATGAATATATATACATATATAAACAATTCAGACTATGATATAACTACCATATCATAACTATTATGAATATCATATAATACATATATTATATTTCTACTAGAACATGTACACACATGTTGCCCTATAAATATATTGAGATGCACCTATGAGCCTAGTTTGTTGGGGAAACACCCGATCACTGTGTTGAGGAAAGACCAAGTCAAAGGCCCCACAAAACGTCATACAATTCATTATTTTGGATAAAAGTCACTGTTTTCATCCGCGGCCCGGTCGTGTGTCCGCACCGCAGTCCGCATGCGCGCAGCTGGGTAGCGATGGTGACGTCATGCGCGCAGCGCGCGAATATACGGCGTTAGCACGTTGCTAACGAGCTAGCCAAACATCCCGGTACAGCGTCTCTACAGAAGCTCGTATATGTGCGGCTTCCCTTTCAGGACGCACCTGTTTTACCGGCAAAGTTCTTCTCTCGTAGTTCGGGTCGGGTCTTCGAATAAGGACACAGCCGGTGGTCGCTCTTGTTATGTTGTTAAGCGACGCACCTTTATGTATTTTAGGATGCTGAAATTATGTTACTTCATCAGTAATTGGCTAACAAAAAAGCACAAAAACACAAATATTGACTATTTGTAAAATGTATTTTTAATGTAACAAACAACAAAAAATAATTTAAAGAATTTAAAACTTTTTTTTTGTCGCTCATGTTGGGGCCCCGTTCCCCTTTATGGACCAGCCGCCACTGCTTAAGAGCTTATTGAATTGAAACGTTTTCATTTGATTAAAAAAGAAAAATGTGCACTTCAAGGCCAAAAAGGTGACAAAGGTTTGTGCTTCTTCACCTTCTGAAAAAAGTGTTACACTCAGCTTGTAAAACTTTTTCAAAATAATAATGATACTTAATTTTAATAGTTGTCATTTAACTGAACTGTCATACAGCTTTAAATTCAGCTGAATGAGTGACTACGAATGAGCAGCTGATGTTCCTTGAAATCCGGTTATCGGGCCGGGTTCTGGACATAATAGTTGCAGTAACTGGATACAGATCTGCGTCTATTTGACTCACAAATACTTTGTAAATAAAAACACAAAGTAGTTCATAAAATCACTCATGTGTTTTTATGAAAAATATCCCAGCAGATATTTTAAAAGGCCACCGGTGTTCCCCAAGTTCTCCCAAAAACGGCCCAAACTGTGATACCTGCTATTAGATACCTGCTATCAGAGTTGATACCGGGGCCTGTCTAATTCTGATTTATTAGCACTATATCGATCGCCCGCTACAAGATCGTTCATTTTGACCAATAAGTGGTGCTTGAAATCAGGCCTGGTGATTTTAAGCACCACACAGACGTTCTTAAGGCCCTTCAGGGGCCCACACTAAATCCC